GAGCTCGCTGGATAAAAGGTTGAATTAAAAGAAACACGTTCTTAAGAAATACTTTATTCGATCGGGAGATAAAAGAATACACCCGGTAGATGGAGCGTAGACGAACTCACGTAGAAGCAGTACGTGCTCTCGTTCTTTCGATTAAATCGACGGTGGCCAGGGGCGGGGGTTGTTACACGATTTAACAGGGGCGTACTATTGATTATTACAGCATTACAAAAATGTGTACGTGGCTGGCCGCCGCCGCCGCCACCGCCTCGATAGACCCGTCGCTTTTTACAAACTGTCGTGGCTGATGGCTGGAAAACAAACGGTAAAAAAAGCCAACGAGAGGAACGCGAGAGCGAATCGAATTAATGTTGAAAGCTGCTGTTTTAAACGGCGAACCCTGCGGTTTTTCCCCCGGTTAGCTTTAATAACCAGAGAATCGTAAATTTTTCGAAAGCAACCACTCACACCCCTTCCGCCACCGTGTCGCACGGTATTAAAGGCAACCAAGAAATTCATCGCGACCTTTTTGTTCTCGAAACACAAAAACATCGCCCGTTTCCCGTTGATTATTTAGCCGATAATTGATCAACAATTGGATTTAACCATTCATCAATTTCGAATTAACCCGACGCCGCCGGAGTATTGAGAGAAAAATTGAGGGACATAAATTTATTCCGATCATCGAACCGAAATGAGGGGAACGAGGCAAAAGGTGTTCTCGTATTAGGAAATCCTTTGTCGGTTTGTAAATTTGAAAGAGTCACGCGGCGAAGTAAAAGGACGACCAAATTTTCGCCTGAAAAATGGCAGTCAGTGTGCTCTTTGCTCGGCAAACACGCGAAATTTCGATCGCGTTTCGTGCCGGTGCTCCGTCGAAAGAACGAGACTGTGCGCCTCGATGAAGAGATATCGTTGACGGTTACACCATGCTACCCCGAACTTTTGATGGTTAATAGGATTTTTCGCGAAACCTGGCGTTTATTCAGCTTATACACAGCACGTTCGAAGGAAAGGAGTGAACTTTTGATGATGTCATAAAAGTTAGTGGAAACTTATAGTACCAATTTCCACTCAATTATGGTAGAACATTGTAGGGTGTACAAGGGTGTATGTTATTTCTTATCGATCAAAAATAATAACATTTTTTTTACCTGTGTTTATGGCAGAGATCGATCATTTAGCCCTATTGGTATTAACAATAAAGGTGAAAATGAGATTCTCCTGGGACAAAAATTGTAACGAATGGTATATTTTTTATACTTTTGTACAGTGCAATGTCCTTTCTGGTCGCGTATTACCATAACAAAAGGGTTAATTGAAAAAGCTTGTGCAGAAAAACTTGCTTACACTTTAATGACAACGTCAGACACAAGCGATCTATAATCGTTCCACAATGCCATTTTGTCGTGACACTGGTATCCGCGTCACGAGGATTTTTTTACATCGGTGTGCGGTACCATAAATCAATTAAACAAAAAACTGCGGGGTCTGCGAGTGACAAATTCAGCTGCTACTCGGTTGAACCACCTGGAGCGAATTTGATTCGCGCACCGACGATTGTTGCCCTTTCCTCCTCGTTAAGCTCTTCCCTCCTCGATGGAAAACCCATCCTTTTTTATTTCTTTTTTATACAAATATTTGCATAAATTTGCGATAATGAACCGTGCGGCGTCTCTGGAGAATCGCGATCGAGAGTTCCGGAAATTTCAAGTCAACGTCGGCAATAATTTTAATTGCCGCCTATTACGAACGTCACTTAATATTCTTTATTTCTCTAATCATATACAATCAAAAGAATTGTCTGTGTTCATTTAAATTTCGTTTACTCATTGTCAGCTAGTAGTAAAGGTAATGAGACACGGAGTCTTTAAAATCACTTTGAAAGCACGCTGACAAAATGAATCACCCTATTATTTAAATATTTTATATCTACATGACAAACAGTTTAAACGAACAACGATGTTGCTCGTTGTTTGCCACTTTTCTCGATTTCTGGCAAAGATGTTGCGAGCTGGGACGTTTCGTGTCCTCGGAGAAAGCGAAAACAACGTGTCGTTGCAGCAAAAGCTTAATTGCTCAGGGATTCGAGCTCGTTAGACGCAGTGCCCCAGGTACTCTTTCCGTTCTTCCTCACGGTCATTTTGCTGCCCTTTCTCGATTTACGTAATACATAGATGTTTTCAGCGACGGAGAACCGTAGATCTTTGTATTTTCTGCTGCTACCTTTAGGGACTTGAAAATTGTTCTCTTGGTCAACTCGGTCGCGCTATGCTTCCCTATGGATCTTGATTTGGCGTTTCCATCGAACGCATCTATTGTTAGTTCGCTCTTCTCTCGTTTCAAATTGTTTCGTTTTATTACGAACGCATAAGTTAAGTAGGATTTTTTTCTTGTGGCGGAGGTGGAGGGTAGGGAGGCACATAAGCGAGATGGGTTCGCTCTCGAAGAACATTACGTTTCCCAAGGGATTCATTTCTCTTCGCTTCTATTCCACTAGCTCTCGATCAATTCCAGACTTTGCTTCTTACCCTCCCTCCCTCCCTCCCTCCCTCTTGTAACTTCGAATTGGCCGGATTCGTGCTCGTTATATCCGATGTCGTGAGTGCACTTACACCGCCGCCCGCTTACAATCGTTTCACTCATCCGGTTGATGATTTTGCTTCCGGACCTCTTACAACTTCCACCAGCCATCCTGCTCGTATTCTCTGCCGCCCACTTATTACGCGCACTGCTTCCCTATCAATCTAACTTGAAAATGGAACCTCCGCATACGTCCTCCTACTGATTAAGGTCAGTAGGTACTTTTGTGCCAGAGATTATAATATGATTTTACATCCCGGAGGTACATTGGCCACCTAGCTAAATGATTTTAAAACTATCAACGAAATATCAAAACCTGTTGAGTTGAAATTCAGTTTCGCGGGGTTGTTGGATTATAAAATTATAATCGGGCTGAAATCGGCGGGAAAGTTGGCGACGAGTGCGCCGCGGTTCGAATCGATCGAACAGAATTCAAGTTTAAACTTGCTTCGGGGATCGAAAAGTTCGGCGAGAGTAATTCGGTTGAGCGCCGAATTTCCCAAAAATTCGTTCCATTCTCGACATGGATATGGTGTTCGAATATGTTTCTTACTAAAATTAATAATGATCCTAAAGTAGCACGTTTGCCCGATCGAAATCAATTAGTACACTCGAAGTGTATTAGATCTTAACGAAGGTTAAAGAATTTCTCTTCGACCACGTGTGATATGTATGCGAGGAATGAAAAATTGGGAGGTTGCCTTTCGATCGAACATTCCCAGGGCTGGTGTGGAGTACACGAGCGACGAAAGAAGACGAAGAGATGGAGAAGGAGAACGAACGACTGGATCAAACCGAATCCAATAACTCCCATGGGATTACAAGCTCGACCCTCGGGAACCAACCGTTTCCCAAAGATCTGGAAGCTGTGACATAGAGAAAACTAGAGGAAGAAGCAAGAAGAAGGTGATGGGATAAGTAAAGGTGGTTAGCAAGGGTGAATCCAAACCGAGCGAACGTAAAATATATCACAGGTTGCAGTCGTATCAGATAGAGGGGTCAAGCCAGCTGCTCTGGCTTCAATATAATTGCTTTTGTTTCTATTTCAAAAATATCGGACTGAAATTTAATCGAAGAAACGTGTTACACACAATTTTTCTCTTTCCTGACTTACCCAGACTTGTTCACCCGACTGTGAATGACGTCTTAGCGTTTGCCACAAAATGTGTTTTACCTCGTTCCACCGACTGACCACGCGTCACACTCAACAACCAACGATTTATCAATTTCATTTTCCTTCCTCTTTATTAATGAAATTTTCCTATGAAAGAAAACGTCCGAGAGGAATCCGACGAACCTTGTATTTTTTTCCAAAAACGTTGCAAACCGATCGCTGTGGATCAACGAAATTTTCTCGCCGCGTTTTTTCCAAAGCAAAACGATCGAGCGATAAAATGTTTTTGACACGAGAATCACAGGGTGAAACCACAATGTTTCGGTTAGGAAAAAAAAAAAGAAGAAAAAAAAATGGTATAACCCTTGTGCGTTGCGGCCAGGATACACCTCGAATCGGCAACAAATGTAAAAGCAAAAAAACAAGCGAAGAAAGAAGAGGTGATTGACAAACAGAGAACCGCGAGACCAAACCGCACGAGCCATCGTGGAAACGATGAAACAAAATATTTGTGCGGTTTCAACGATTTTCGTGACGCGCTTCACCGGCTCCCTACAAATTCAATTTCTCCAGGAAGATTCGTTTACCACCCTCGTTGCATAACGCCGACACGTGAGCGGTGTGCACCGACTGCATACAATGCAACACCGTCATTGTTCTTGTATCCGTGTACAGTGTACACGGTAAAGGGGTCGAAGGAAGATAAACGTAGCCGGTGTTCCAACCGATCACGGCTACAGCTAACCCTACTATAACACGACGCCGTTGATACTGCGAGATAAATTCCAAAGAAAGTTACTAAATTACACTTTCTTAAGAATTGCAAAAATTCGAAATTTCGAATTTGCATGAGCGTAGCTGTTTCGACGAGCCGATGGAAACATTCCGCGTTGAAATTTATTGAAAATTATAAAAGGATCAAAGAGCGGGCTAACAAGCTTCCTTTTCCAGTCAGGGTACCTAACAATGTCACCGTACTAAATCCTTGAACTCTCCGCCACGAGAAACTTTTCCACGAAGTTGGAGTTCTCTGTAAGAGTTTATCGACGTCGAAGCCAGTTTCCAGCGACCACATTTTTTCCCCCTCCGCCCCTTTCCACGAGAGCTCGGACCCAATAAAATTCGAGGGTCACGCAAATCGAGCGTAACCGGCCAACCACCCTGTTCGATCGTTCTCCGATTCTTTATTTGCCCAAGAAATAACGATTACTTTCCTGTGTTCTGGGAGTTTGCTATTCAGATTTGGGCGTGACATCCTGCTATGTAACAGAACGATGACATTTCTGAATTATTGAATGAAATAAATTGTACTCACTGACTAAGGTGAGGAAGGGTATATTGTGCTGCTGAAAATGGGGCGGACTGCAAGCCTCTTCTGGCCTGGAAACTGCACTTCCGGTTTGCAATTCTATCACGTGGCCGTCCCGTCGATAGAAGGTCATACACATGAAACCGCTGCGACTGAAAGCAAAAGAAATACGTAACGATTTCTGAAAGCCTTTCCATACGTGTCAGATCAATCAATGAAATTCCATCGACTCACCAGCCGACGGTGAAATGGGCAACCAGCATGGTCATCGTCACCGCCTGAGCAGAGCTGGATTGCTTTATGCTGTTGCAGAGGATCTTTACGTCCTGATCCTCCTGTCCAGGAACGTATTGGCCGTCCAAGGATCCGCTTTCGAACCTCGAGGTACTGCTGTTCGATCTGGTTGCGTGCAACGAAGCGTTTCGCGGATGAAACGTGTAAGACCTGGTCAGGTCTAGGGTGTGCCAAGTTAGTCCACCGCTGGAATGACCGGTCAACCAATTTGGAAATCGACACTGGCCTGGCGGCGATACTGAAAGTGTACGGGAAGCAATTTATTTAATGCTGATTGAATTGCTTTCGAGAGTCGAAACTGCTCTCGCGCTTTTTCAATGGACTTTGCAATCCCTGATTGAAATTACGCTTGTTTTTATTCCTATCTCATGGCTCGTTTCCTTGAAAAGCGAATGAATCAGTTGGCCCGACCATTGCGAACGTTGATTTCATTCTATTTAATCATCGTTGTAGATCGTTTTAGAGACGAATGGAGTTGTAAGGATCGGGTTCGAATGATTACTCGATAAATCATTTTCAATTAGGGGAATTAAACGTAGAGTTAGAAGAAAATGGAATAATAGGGAAAGAGAGGGAATTGCGTATAGAAAAGTGGAGAAACGAAAGATTGACAGAGAATAGTTTGGCCAGTTTTATGGCACGTAAAAGCATCGTTGCACGGTCCAAGGAAGAATTGGAATAATTCAGCGTATCTCTAAGTCCAGGAAGCGGACGAGCGAGATACAAATTCCGTGATCGTAAAAATCGAATAGCATTTCGCTTGTTTTACTTGCTGTCGTCCTTTATATTTTCGTGGTATCAAACAGTACACCCTTTCTCTCGTCTTCTCTGTTTGCCTTTAGAATTTTCTCTCTCTTCGATTTCGCACGTACCTTTGCAACCCCCGTTCTCTGTCGTTATTTTTCCCCGATCCCAGTCCGTGTATTGGCAATCTGCATTTTAACGATACCGATAAAATCTGACGGGAAAGTTGCATTTTGTAACTTTCCTCTGTCCACTGGCCACGTACATCGCGATCCAAACGTGTTAATTTATAAAAAGCTAATCCATTTCATTCGCAAACGGATAAGTAAGGTGTTGAATCAGCCAAGAGAGTAGACTACACGCGATAAAAACTGTCGACCGAGAAAAGAAAAAGAAAAAAAGAAAAACGAAGAAAATAGAGAGATCCTGCGACGAAGAGCTGGTACAAGGATCCTCCTCGTTAATATCTCGATCCTTCTTGTAGAAACGTAGGAATGAGAAGAGAGCAACGTCGAGAAGCAAGAACTAGGAAAATGGAATAACATTAAATCTTTTCCTTTCTTTCTCTGACTCGCAGGTTTCCCTCGAGACCATCCTTGTTCATTCTTTCTTACTCTTTTCCCTCCCCGCTGTGTTTCTTTTCTTTCTCTCTTATTGAGAGTGTCTTTAAACTGCACCCACAAGCCGGCTCGAAAGTTTGTTCAATTAGCCTGGACTCTTCTACCGCAAAGTCAATACCACGGGAAAATTACTCGACTGCGTTTTCATAACTGCTCGAAACGTGCGGTTTAAACCGACGAGAAGGGAGCAGAGGATGTCTTGGAACGTCGAGGAGCGTTCGAAACGTTTCGAGACCTCATCTCGAATAGCCAATTACATGGATGATGGTTGGCTGTTAATCGAACGAACGCCTACAGAAATTTCTCCCTCTAAGCTGTGTTCGATGATATGTATCGCTATCGAATCAATTATCCTTTCAGAACGCATAGAAGATATTTCATCTTTCACGAATTTATACATCGGAATGTTTTTCAAAAGTTTTTCTGAAAGGAAACTACACGGATCACCTGTTTTTCAGTGATTTAAATGCGACAACCTTTCTAAAGCGACGGAGATCCTGGAAATGCAGTGAAGCGAAATCCGTTAACGAAGTTTGCCGTGAGAAACTGTACGCGGTAAGATACGGGCTTGCAAACTACGAAAGAAGAAGAAATAGATGTGGAAAGAGGGAGGAAAAGTGGAGTAGCGTGTAAATATTCCTCGTTCGCGCTCTGGACCGTGATTTTGACACGTTCCATTAATGACGCTGGGAGACAGGTGAATTTTTCACACCGTGATTCCTTGGACGACAGACGGGCTGCTTTTCTTTCTGTTCACCATTCTCGAGCGTCGCGCAGCCTGACCTTATTTTCCCTCCAACGAGTTTGCCGTGTTTTATTCCGCTCGTAATGCTTCAACTTTCGACACGATGCTCTTTTTTTAAAGCGTAGGAAATTTGATCGCTCGAATTGAATCGTTTGGAGGAACTTGTTGGATTCGACGAGGGAACGCATCAATTACACTTACCTTTCATGAGAGTCATGGTTCGCGATCCCTCCATCGGGCTGAAGAGACCGTTGCAAGTGGCATCTCCGCTCTGGGCCACCCGGTATATCTCGGCCGCGCCCTCGGGCACCGGCCCGCTCTGTAAACTGACATCGTGATCCATGGCTCCCATGCCCATGGCAGCTCTGTGCAGATTACCCTGCACTGTCTGGCCTGCCTTCTCGTAGACGAAGCATCGGTATCGATCTTCGTTACTCGACGCGTGTCCGTGATGTAAACGGCCGACCAGGTATCGGCTACTGCCCTCCTTCCAGGTGGCCAGGCATTCCAACTCCTCCACTGAAACGTATCAAGGTAAAAAATGTAACTCGAACTTCGTAGAAACGACGGAAAGCCGATGGTAGCCTAATGGACACGGAAGTCGAGCCTGTGTCTGACTCCTTGTGTCCCAGTCCCCTAATTATAATGGATTCCTATAATTCACTTGGATGAATAGTTGGACAAGGAGGCGCGTTAGAGCTGCCGTTGCAGATGATTGACGAGTATAGGCGCGGTACAGAGGTTTACGTTGACAAATTCGGTATAAAATTTCAACAGCCATTACGTCTGTCTAACGATAACTGTTGAGTACGACAAATCAAGACCCGCAAGAAAAGCGTCCATCGATCTCTCTTTGGATCCTTCGGATCGTCAACGAGCAGCGAAGGTAGTTAGAGGCGGAAAGAGGACGCGTTTCGCGCAATCCCCGCGTCTATCAGCGGGATGAAATTCGACGCGGGAACTCCGGGGGGTGAAAACGAAGCTGGAATCTGCTCTGGGTGACGAGGAAAAGAGCGAGGGAACGAGCTTTTTCCTTCGAATCCTCGCAAATTGCTCGTGGCGTTCTCGCCTCGAAGGATCGAGGATCGAAAAAGAAGAATAAGGGGAAGAGGCGCGGTTGGAAGGAAAAGCAGGATAAAGAGGAGTGCAGTTAGGGAGTGAAAGAAACGAAGGGAAAAAGAGGTAGCCGAGTTTTGCGCGAGATGTGATTTAGATACGCGCCTTTGGGATCTTGGCTGCTGCCTGTCTGCAAAGCTTCGTAGACGACGCTTAAGGAGCAGGACAGAACTTGTCCGTCGATAACATCGAGCTCTCTTTACTTCTGCCCTTTCGAGGGTTGGACCTCTCAGGTGCATCCGGCACACCGATCCGATAATTGTCGGTCTCCTCCGCAAAGGATCGCTAGCCTTTGCGTCATCTCAAACTATCGTTTTTCACGCGGAAATCTCAGGTTTTCGTGTCGTTTCTTTCCCCACTGGCCGTCCAATTTTCTTTCAAATTTCAAGTATTTGGATTTTAATTTCGAAACATCTTGCGTATCGTCATTTCACGACCAGACGCCACGATTACTAGAAAAAGATCCAAACTGTTTTCCGGCTTTCGTTTCGATTCCCTGGCTTTAACGGCCCGTGGCGTCGTCTCGCGAGACTCGAAGCGTCGGATCGCCGGAATTTCCTAGTAAGATCTAGCAGACTTTTTGGCCGAGTGCCGGCAAGAGACAGCGAACCGTGAAACTTCTCTTATTCGTTCGTCCATTAAGATTGCGCTCTCGTTCGGCTACAAAAAGGGAGAGAAACCCTTCGGAAAATAAGGGAAACTGTTCGCGCCTTGGTATCCCATAGCCATAGCCGATCGAAACTCATCGTGCGTTCGCTACGGGACGGAAGTTTAACGAAGCCGAAATCGAGCGAAACGAGGCGGCGGTTTTGCGAGCTGGGAGACCTTCGTTAGGAAGCAAAAGGGGATGATTCTCGGGTCGTCGAACCATTTAACCCCGCGCAACGCACCCGTTATACTTCTTCCATAAATGATCATATGTTCGATATTCGAAAGTAGAGGAATCCAATAAGATTTTTATGATATTTACGTGTTTTCAAGCAATCGCTTTAAGCGCAATCTTTCCCGGGATTCTCATAAAAACCGCGAAATTGGCAAATAAAAGTTACAAAACCGAAGAAAAGAAGTGTAGAAAGTAAAAAAGAAGATTTAATGCTTGTAAATACTGTACGTTTACATTTCTTTGTCTGTTCAGCAACGTTGTCTTCATCTAACGACAGGTATAATTCTTTCCGACGATATTGTCCGCTGTTTTTCTTGCCTTTCTTCGGTCCACGCGAAAAGGAGATCGTTTTCGAGTCATTACGTACGAAACGCGACACGAAATCGTTAATCTCGAGGTCTTCGAGTTGAGCCAGCCTCGATAAGAGAAACGTGACACGTTCGACGTGGCGCTGATTTATCTTTTTACCAGCCAACGTCCTTCCGTTTAATTTTCCACCGCAGAAATCGTTAGCCCTGCAAATCCCTTATCGGATGTGCGTCTAATGGCAAACGTCCGTTAACCCCACCGGAAATCGAGCTCCCGATTTACCACCCTTTGTACGGGGACGCGACTAACGAAATGCACGGACGAAAATCGCTTCTAATCGTGCGCCACCATCCCTAACCTTCCTTTACCACCATTAATTGAGCGTACGGGATGAACGAGAGCTCGTTTGAAGCGCGGGATTAGTTTGGCAACCCTTTGAAATAGTAGCAGCCTTCTTTTTATTTTTATTTTTATTTTTTTTATTCACGAACGATGCTCACCTGCACTTTCCGAGGCAGTTATGTCAGGGCATGCTTGATATCTGAAGAGCAATCTGCTGTCGTCCGTGCAGGTGTCGACGTTGCTGACTGGTACAGAACAGGTTCCGTGTCCTCGGTTATACGAAAAGGTCATAGGACCTCGAAAAGGGCACGGCACAGGTGTTGCCTCCTCCCGGAACATGGAATATAGCAGAGCATCTCCGGTGATGAACGAGCAGAGGGAGGAGAGGGAGCTTTTGCCGTGACAGTAAGCTGAAACAATAAATGAATCCTCGTTAGTTATTCGTTTAAATGAACACAGAGACGTTACCGGTGTGGACGAGGGATGAGGTAGCAGGTAGGACCATCAGGCAACAACGATAAAACTTTCAAAATGACACGAATAAATCTGCTACGTTCCATTTATCGTAAAAGATAATATTTTGTTATTCGAGGAATAAAAGGAACGATTAAAACTCTACGGTACTCTGTTCAGATGAAAATTTCTCAACTCAAGACATTGTAACGCTGAAACAAACGACGTTGGACGTGTACAAATAATAATAATAATTTATTATTTTATATAAGCTGAAATTTCGAGAGAGAAAGAGACAAAACTTAATTGAATGAAATTTTAACGATCATTTCGAGCGACACTTTTCCTGAAAAAAAAAAAAAAAAAACATTACTTCCTTGAGTGGTTGGTTGTTGGGACGCATTAACTTCCGTCGAACAGCCATAAGTTCTTCCCTCGTATAGAGGAAGCTTGACAGGAAGTCGTGAGAGGGAATAAAGGCGAAGAAGGTAGTGGGGCGAGGAGACGATGACGAATTTTCTCTGAGTAGGAAGTTCATAGCCGGGAATAACTTTAACCGAGGATATTCTCCGCGATTTCTTTCTTGCCGGCTGGAAAAGTGGCGAGACACTCGCAGTGGGACCTCGGAACAACTTTTCTACGCACAGGTGTTGCCACCAAGCCGGGAAAACTCGACGGCCCATCGACGTGTTTTTCTTCCGCTTTCTCCCTATCCACCCTTTCTACCGCCCCCTCTACTGCTGGTTATTGAAGATTATTGAAATATGCGATTGATTTCTACCCAATTTTTATTACTCCGCAGGGAGAACAGTATTAGATTGAAAGAAAGTAAGTTTGCGGTTTGTTATTTTTCGTATAAATTTCACTACGGAAGTTTAATTTCTAACTTCATAAACAATATTGACAGTTCCGGCAAACCACAATGTTTCAAAGTAACGAACGAAAAAATGGTAACGACTTTACTGGTTGAAAACCACTAAATCGGTCAACGACTATTTTACTGCCCTTTCCCTTCGCTATCTTGTCACATTTATCTTCAAATCCGTTCATATATCGTTTTTATTACAGTTTACAACGACTTCGAGAGAAACATCAACCTCTCGTATCAAATGTTTCTATGAAGTTTATTGCAACGATTCGTTGACTTTTTAAAATTTAATTATTCCAAAAAATTGTAAATTTCGTTCATTTTAATGAAGATAATTTCAGTATGTTCTCTTTTGAACAGAGAAGTTGAAGAATCTCGTGTTTCCAAGTGACGTACTAAAAATTATTTAAATAAACGAATATTTATTTAGGCGAACAATAAACCGTGGAGCAACGAGTTGTCGAGAGGGAGAAAAAAAAGCGAACGCTGGAAGGAAGGTAGGCAGATGTAATTTTCAAAGGGTGGAAATGGAAAAAGTGCAATGTCGTGTCTTTCCTCTATTTCCAAGTTTTTCCCCAACTCGTTCTCTCATTTATTTATTTATTTTCACGTGAATGCCGGCTTCGTGTCACCCTTTCGTTTCGATGAACTCGCTAGCTTCTGAAATTTTCATCGTCATTTATTCGTTATTTGAATCGACCCACTTTTTCCTCCCTTCCATTAATTCACTCCATCTAATTGCGTTCAAGAAACGTCTTAACGTAATTAATTTGCATCATTAAAAGTACCTATATAGAACATTAAAACTTCAGAAATTACTTGACAGATTTTGACACCCCATTTATAAATGATTGAAGATTGAACTTTCAGCGCACCCCGGAAGTTGACTATCCAATTCGCAAACTAAACCTCAGATCGCAATCAGGTACAAGTATTTTGAGACGCACTGTATTACGATTGTAGAAACGAAGGGCGTGTAAAGTGCAATTCCGTGTTCTGCTTTGGAACGGACATCAACTTGGTCCGCGATATAAACACGCTCGCCGTCAGCCAATTAAATTTAAAACACGCTTTCTGTTCTGACAGCAATTTCGCCTGTTAAGCTTCTTGATGAACCACCCCGACGCAACGACCGCTTGTTAAAATCTTCTTCTCAGCGGTCGACTCGCGCCAAGTATCTTCATCAAGGAAGAAGGATTAGAGTTTAAAAATTTTATGCGTTTTTCTTTTTTCTTTTTTTCTTTCAAACATAGTTAACAATGCGTTAACAAACATACGAAGTTCTCTAAAGATAGAAATTTCCTCTGACAGATTTTAAAACCGCCCCAATTTCCCAAACGATCGCAGCACAATCGGTTGCTTTCAAGCAGAGAAACATCTCCCGCGGGAACAAATGAACGAGTGATCGATAACGAACTAGGTCCACGAATCGGATTTCATTGCAAACATCAGCCTTCAGAATGTATCACGAGTCACGAAGAAAGTCCGTGGTTTTTCCATTGGTTCGGTTGCCCGAAGCGTGACGAGACTTTTCTACATCCGTTGTCACGCTTCTTCTACCCGTTTCCCACAGAAACGACCCACATTTCCCCGCGCGTTGACGGTCCGAACTGTACCCTACAGGCGAATGGTATCTGCGATGTGACACTATGCAGATTAAAATCCGATAAAAAAAGAAGAGGGTGGAGAGGGAGGAGTGGGAGAAGAGAGACCCGAGGGACTTTGACAAATCGTCGAAAAATGCGGACGCTAGACAGCAGAGGGCTGCTGTGTACCAGAGGTCGGTGCACCTCTTTTTCAGCCTATATACACACTGTTTCATAACGTATGCAATCAATTTCGCGAAAATAACAAGATATATTTCGTATAAATACGTGCCGCATTAAAGTTCTTCCGATCCTCGTTTCTCGAACGGATCAGAATTTCATAAATTTTCGAATCTTCATACCACAGCAATGATCACAACTTGGAAGTAATATTAAGTAGAATCACATGTTATGAAACACACTGTACGCGAAATCCACCCTCTTCGTTCCTCCCCAAGTTGGCTCTGCTGCCAAACTCCATATGACTGACGTTGTTGCTCTCTCTGTGGCTTCATTTATCTCTCTACTGGTCGTTTCACTTTTCTTCCTCTATTTTATTATGAAATAATGATTTGTCTGTGCGTTCTTATGTTACAGATACGAATGGAGGGATAAAGTGTTATCGAAATGAGATTGTTAAGATAAATGGGAAAGCAATGAAGCTATCAAAGGCGATGAATCTCGATGGGAAAAGTTGCAAGGGAAAATCCATAATCTTTCGACACCATGATGAATTGGACTAACTTCTGCCGAATGAAAGTTAATTGTTCCATCGTTTCTTCGATACCTCTCCACCGATTTCAACGAACATGATACAACGAAGGTATGAAAAGCAAGAAAAATTGCTCCGGGATAGCTAAATGTTTGGAAAAATAAAATAAACTATCGTAACGCGTTCCGTAACGAAGAAATATTGATTAATCGGCGTTAAAAATTCATCATCGATCAATTTACTTGAACGAGCCTGTACAGAGTGGTGCACACGCTTTTCGCCTGCACCTAACCCATTTTTTATCTGGATCCATATTTACCACCCTCTTTGCCGCTGGCTCGTTTCCCCTCACCGTCAGTCGCATCACTTACAACCACAGTTGGAGGATCAAAGTATCGTTAGCGGGTTTGAAAATAAAAAAAAAAAAAAGAGAAGGAAGAATAAAAAAAGAGGCCTGTATCGTCTATGAGCTACACCGAAGTGAATGGAATTATCAGGAAACCTCGTTGCACGATTCTAGCAGGGTAAAAGCGTCCTTCGAACCAGCCAGTTTTAAAGCGGACGAAACTTTTACAGATTCGACGATTTTTATGAAAATCCACATACAGGTGGGCGGATGCAGGTTTTGGCTTTCTGAATACGTAAACAGATGCTCTCCGCTAACTTTGTGCACTTCAATCTAACGAGGACGCGTTCATATGAGAACGGACATCAAAAGCCTCTCGAGCAGTCTTAGCTTTACTGCGGTAAATTAACAAGTACTTTTAATTTTCAGTTATATGCAGTTAAACGCGTGGATTTTCAGAATAAAGTTTTACGTTATGCAAGAGATGAGTCGAAAATCAAAGATCGAGGAAAGTGTCGATCAAAGCGTAGAACGTGTTAATGAATGATAAAATATTTCCAAAGCAGAATCTGTAGCGGTTTCTTATTACGAAACAGAAGTCGCGGAATAATTTGCAGCGATCTGCATAACGATGCTCGATAAATATCCGGGAGGGGAATCATTATCACGTCCCAGAAAGTTCGCAATCCGTTCTGTTGTCCGTGTATTAACGAGGCAGGAGGTTGATTGCACGCTAGAATCCGGCAAAGTGCTCTCGATTTCTTTTCCGCTGTAAACGAGGTTCCCGGTACCCGTCTGGAATTAGCAGTACCATTGCCTGTTTCGATCGTTTTCGTGTCCTTCTTTACCTCCTCCTCGGCCTTCTTCTCCTCTCATCCCCCATTCCACCCGTTAGGTTTGCACAACGAACGAAAGTCGTTAAGTTCTTCGTCGGGAATTATTCTGGCAGCTAGGCTGCCTCGTTCTCGGCCTCGGTCTTCTCGTCATCTTCGAGCTTTTAATTACCGATCGGCATTCTAATTAATGAATGGATTTCTACGGGCCAACGGGAAATCGTTATCGATTTCATAGGAAACAACGGCTATTAAGGGGGGTCGACCGAAGACGAGGTCGAATAAAGGAATGGTTAGGACAAGACGGGGAATAAGAAGGGACGAAATAAAGAAGAAACGACATCTTTTCAATGTTCTTTAGAAATATTGTACTCACTTTCTTTGTACTGGAGAACGTTCGAGTGCTTCTCGTGAATGACGACGCAACGATAGCAGGATTTTCTGAAACAGGACAGAAACAGGGCTTTTTTTTTATCTTATTCAGGTCTTTCATTCGATATCGTTTGCTGGAATTAGAATGCTTTCGCCTGTGCTTGATTCTTCTTCTCTCTTTCTCTATCCTTCTTTTTTCCCCTCTCGTATTTATTGTTCTCTGTTTCGTTGCTCGTTAGACGACGACGACACGGATTGGTTGAGATTAACAGAGAAGAACCTTAATGAGACTCGAGGTGTTAGAAATCTGTGAAATCGAATCGAACTATTGACCGAATTAACGCGATTTTCTACTCGAACAAAACAGAAAACTAATTCCCACGTCTTATAAATAAATAAAAGATGTCAACTTACTGGTCCACTAAAAGAAATTTGTCGCCCTCGTTGTGGAGACACCTGCCCTTGCTGGACAGTTCGTTCCTGGAGATGACGATCGGTTGTCTGACTCCGCTCTGAAACCACGTCCCTTCCCATTTCAACGGAAACGTGCATTCTGAAACAAAAACAAGACGATCGTAAAGAAATCTGTTTAAATATAAAAGTATATATTTGGTGAGAAGTAGAAAATAATGCTGGAGAAATCGCGAAGCAAGTCGAAGACAAAGGAACGAAAGGGACGGTAGCAGGGCAGAAGTAAGGGTTGAACGACAGGCAGGATGGGCGCATAACCATGGCGTCGTGATGGGAATTCTCCGGACGGGATAATCCTGGGGGCGAAGCGAATTTCCGGGAACTACAGGCATAGCACGGAAGGGATACACATCCAGCCGAGTTATTGACGATAATCGAAAGCCAGGGATGTCCCTGGTGCGTCGTTCCTTTCTCTCGTTGCAGGTTCGCCGACCTGAAGGGCCATTTCGAATTTACAAAAAAGAAAGAAAGAAAAAAAAAAAGGATTCTTTAAACAAAGAATCAGAAACCGAATTATACTATTATAGTAGAAGAAGGAAAATAGAGACGTCGTTCTTGAATCGTGATAGAGAGTTCTATTTCTGTGGAACGAGCCTCGAACGCAACTTTTCGTCGCGTGGTAATTTCAGTTCTACCCTTGATAACCGATTAGCAGTACGAAACTTGGTAGAAGCTCGCATCGCGTGTCTGAACAACGTGTCGCAAAATGTAGACAAGTCCCGACAGCTGATAAATAAATCAACCGGTCGGTCGCTCTCTCGTTTTCTTCGTCGCGTTGCTTGTTCAGCCTCGTTTTGGCTCTGTTCGCGAAGAAAACAGCAGCGTCGCAACAATTGGCTCGCGGTATAAATAAAAGCAGCGTGTAAAATAAATGAAAGGGTCGTTCGGCGGAAGTACGCCGCCCCTAATTAGGGGTTAATTAGATTTCATCGTAGAAAGCGTTGACGAAGAGGTGGAAAAATATTATTCCACGAGGGGGTCGTACTACACGAACGCCGCAACGACGTTTTCAAGTCGGGTCTTTAAGTAAAAGCATGGTAAATAAATACAGCTATCGCGTTCTGCGGTTGATTCGCCTAATTGTGCCAATCGCGATGAATTCGTTTTTAATTTCGGCTCACAACCGATGGAATAAATCTACTTTTAATACGAAATAAAAAATAAAAGTTGTTTTATCTGGAGAAGAAGCTCTCGCCCGAGGGGCTGATAGAATAATAAAACGCGAAGGAAACGTTTTAAGAGTGCTTGGAGTTGCTTATCTCCAGGGGAGGATGCTGATATTGGCGCGTGTCATTTTCTAAAGTTTTGACAACACTTGGCAAACGAATTTCAATAGTCGTTCCTTCTTTTTTAAATCGTTGGTTAATAGTAAACTAAGGTATCCCATAAGAATTAGATGTCGAGGAATTCTCGCGAAGTAAGAAGAAAATCGGCACGGTTGAGTTTCAAGGGTGAAATCGATAGCAGGTGGTAGGTCCCTGAAGCGAGTCCACCGGCGCGGCACCCCAGCAGCCACTCTCTTCTCACCCCTTCCTAGCCATCTCACCGACACCGACCGACCACCCCCAGGCATTTATTTATTTCCATGCGGTTCGTATGCCTCTCGCGCGTTCCCTTTTTTTCTCTTTCACCCTTCGGGAAGAAGAGAGACAGGCGGAGGGTAGACGACGATGGGGTGCGAGTCGTGCGATTCACGGCGGGCTCGTAAAATCCGCGGGCGAGACTCGAAATCCGTAATCACAGTTCGCACCAACGGGCCAGCCTCGATGGAGAATCTCACCCCCAGGGCAAAGGGGTGCCGCGAGGGCAACGGAATGGAACCAGAGAGAGAGAGAGAGAGAGAGAGGAAAAAACGGTCGAGTGTTTCGCGGTGGTCCACCCACACCACAGTTTCTCTTCGCGAAATCGAATCTCTTCGGGATTTTCTATCTCTGTCCCTTTCTTTTTTCTTTTTTTTTTTTGCTTTTTGCGATGCTGTTAACGATAAGACTTTAGGATCGCGCGTAAATAAATGGTCGTCGTTTTTCTTGGCGCTTTTAATTCCTTCTCGAAGAAGGGATGACAGCGTCGAGAAATAATCTAGCCGCTTCTTTTTTCTGTTTTTGTTGAAACTGTTTCGTGGCGAGGTAGATTAAGGTGAATCGCGAAGCGGGAAAGAGGGATGAAGAAACTTTTCGATTTGAAAAGTGTGCAGTTTCGGTGGCTATGGGAAATGCTCGATCCTTTCTTTTTCCCGGCTTTTCAAGCAATTCAATCGTATTCACAGATAGGAAAGTTCGTGTCAGGTGAAGTATCTTTTAACCTATTTGGTGTTGGATAATTAGTGGTTGTTGTAAAGAGGATTATGATAGATCTTTGCGGATCGATTATGGATCAACGATTGCGTCTCGTATATCTATGATGTAATCTACTGTAATCCTCTTTAGCTCCAACTATTAATTATTCAACACTTGATGGATCAACTAGATATTCCTTCTAATCTTTACGGATTAAACGCGTTTCGAAATAATAATTGGGATTTAATAATGTTTGTATTAAAAAAAAGTCAAGTAATTCTAAATAAGGAGTTTATTCTCACGAACGAGTCGTTACTTTTCTCCGTCCTCCTTACCAGGGTAGCTGGCTTCCCTTGGCCCATTCTACTCGCGAATAACGATCCCTCGGTGGCAATATGTCTTCCCGGAAATGGGCCGCGTTCTCCAATTGGACAATGATAATAAGCATAATAGCGACAAGAATAATAACGGCGATGATTAGAAAAATTGCGAGCACGCATCGTTCGGTTAAGTAGATACCGCGTTTATAATTCATTGGGCTATACGAAAAGATTCACTGTTTTCAGCTTTTATTCCTTAACATCCATAAGATGGAAATAAATCAAGACCGTTGAAATTTTCAATAAATTTTAATTACACAGACAACGTCAGGCGGACGTTAACGAAAAACGCAATTTTCCGTCATTTTTCTTCGGGTTTTTTTTTGTATTCTGTTTCTAGAAAACGGTCGAACAATACACGCGATACAACGGCAGCGGTAATTTTTCATTCTTTATCCCTGGCACAATCCATTTCACCGGTATTCAAGCAGCCGTAACGACTCCTGCGTGGCTGTAATTTACCCCAGAAATGGCCCACGACAAAATACAGCCTGTTTCAACCCTGGTTTGCCGGGTGGGGTGCGCGGCTCACGTGGCCGGCCCCGAAATTTCTTGATTAAGACGGCTGGCACGCGATCTCTCGTGGCCGAGCACCGCTCATTTTTCTTCCACTTTGTCGATCAATCTTTGGTATCGCGGAAAATCTTCGAAATAACTGTTGAATATCTTGCGAAATTTCCTCTTACGCTTCGTCGTGTTTCTAGAATGAACGGTGGTGGTGGAGTTTGCAGAGTCGAGCGAAAGCAATGCTTTCAAGAACCATGAATGCGGCTCGCATCATTTGATCGATAAATTGTTTTCAATATCGATAGACGGGTAGGGTATTATCGAGCTCCATCATGCGAGCAATTATCAGCGGCAACATCGTTAGTCCGTAAGTTCGAGACGACAATGGAGGCTGGTCGCGTCCCGTGGGAGATTCGAGGCGAGCCGCGTCGATTTGAATAGTGCAGATCGAATCGTCAGATAGTATACAATCTCCCGGATGAATTCCTGTTTGTGGAAGGTATGACGGCTCCTCTCTCTCTTCACCCTTCCGCCATTCTACGATTGAAATCGAACTAATGGCAGAAATTTAACGCGGCACGCTTTCCTATCGCACGATATTAAACCGATGCAAAGACACAACAAACAGGCTGCTTTCGGTATCGTAAAAATATCCTTGTAATTACATATTCTATTTGCAATTGTTCTCAATTTCGAATTATCATACAATGGATACAATGATTGAATTCAAGAGTTTTAGTGTTTGCGTTTAGCCATCTGATTTATTCAGCAACATTTCAATCGACCCGTTCAAATTAACCAACCGTAGGAAGCGAGTTGAATTACGCTAATTAGAAACAGCTAATTAGTAACATCGAATAGATCCTTTGCTGCGCAAAAAGCCTTTAGATCCATATGTTTCGGTATTACAGAGCAAGATTACATTAGTTACTTCGTCCTTTGCAAAGTTTCATTGTTTATCACTAAGAGGGAATAATTCGTTCCTCGTCAAACGATTATTAACATGTTAATTAAACGAAGTTTCATTTTTTTTACATTGGAAGTGTATCATAGATCGCGCGATGGTATATTCCGTGGCATTATAACCAAAGCGGAAATGTCGATTGGTGGCGCGTTTTCTGCTCGAACGAGCATCATTGAATTCGATCAGCGTCATCGAATTCGCGATACTTGTCGAATCGGTGACTAGATAAATCGCATGTTTCGACAGCGCTCGTACCCCGGCCTGTGTGATCTGCTGATAAGTACAAACGCCAGTCACGCGAACGACTTGGACCGATTATAAATTATTTAACGCGTTAACTCTGCCATACACGCGTGCACATACCAGTCCGTCGCTCGCCACTGCCTTACAAGCTCGAATTAAACGCGATATTAAACGACCACCTATGGAGTTTTATTGCTTTTTTGACCTACATCCGTCGCGGTTATTAGGATAATTTGATTTATTTTATTTAAAACGAATTTTTTCTACTAAATTCAAAAGTTGTCGAATTAAATTTCATCCAGGTTTACGCTTAGTTAGAGACCTAAGCCAGGGAAACAACAATAAAACTGCCGAGGTACGGTTCAGGTAACTCGAACGCAGCGGTAAAACGTCAGTGAAATATTCAAAAGCAACGAGGAAACATTTACATTTTCCACCAATGACAGTTCATATTCATCGGGTCGAATCGCGTTCCACCATCGCAAATCTTGGGATCGTGATTCGGTTTTCGTAACGCGATAAATCGTGTAATTAGCAGGGAAATGCAAAATCACTTGGGAAAATAGGTGCGAATAGCTATTGGCGATAGAAAAGGGAGATTTAGCAGGCGCGAATGAAATATTCGCCGATACGAATGGCCGTGCGAGATTAAGTAGCTGGATCTGCTCCCATCGGGAATAACCGCGTTGATACAGACGACCAAAAGTTTCCCTATAAACCGAGCCTAATACATGTCATTTATCAGAAAGAAAAGTAACATCAACCATGCTCCTGTGGGGACCATTCTCCACCGGGTAGTTTGTTGAAAGAATTTTGACTTGGATAAATCCACGCACCACCGAGTACACCGGTTAATCTGTGTATTGCCAGAGGTAAGTTGGACAACTAGATTTATGGGAAATTAAAGAATCGAACGTATGCTTATCGAGTGTCAAGTTGCAATGAAATCTCTGTGATCGCGAACCACGTTTTCTGTGTCGAAACGAACATTTGTACAAGCGATCGTAAGAGTATTTAAACAATCCCGATATTCGCGTTCGATCAAATACCATCGAAGTTCGCCTTTGTCCATCGGACAAAAGCTCTTTCCCGTGGAAAACGCGTTGCAACCAGCTTCGGATTCGAAGCCGGCTCGAAATACTCGGTACAAGTAACTATTAACCATTACAAGCGGCCGACTCGTCGGCACTTTTATTTCCGGCATGGCATCGAGAACGACGCGACGCGATTCGACGCGATGCGACGCGAACGGGCCAGAAAACCGGGTGTGAGAGAAGAGACGGCCGACAACACACGGCAAACCCTGCAACATTGTAGCCACGGTGTCGCATCCCTTTACTTCCTGTTTCCCTCCGCCCTCTCTTCTCCTCGCTATGCCCGAGCTTTTCAAAAGGGTTAACGAATTCGGCAATCAACGGGTATCGATTTCGATCGTCCACCGATTTTACGCGCGTTTTTCCGGTATTCTCTGTCATTCCAGCATGGTGCAAAAATCCCCGTTGATTTTGTAAAATCCCACCGTTATCTGACGTTTTCTCCCCCGAGGGTAATAACGATGCAACGAGGTTTATTCGACAAGGTAGGTTTAATTTGTCAAAGAATTCGATTCGAATCTAGGGTAATATACAATTTATTTTTATATACACTCGCATTGGTACAATTTACAATTTCGTTTGTAATTTTAAAAGAAAAAGACAATTGAAAGATCGGAGAAAGCGATCCTGCTAATTTCTCCCCGGGGTATAGTCTTTCACCAGACGAAACGATGTTTCGATTGGCCGGGCCATGTTCTCGCGAGGTTAAAACGAGCCAACAGTAAACGATCCCGTTCTTCTGCAAGACGATCCACAGCGTCACCAGTGATCCATTATCTTTTTATCAGCAGCTAGCGACGCCGGCAGACGGATAGCGAAGAAAACGGAGGCTACGTGGAAATCTTCGGGACGCCAAGTGAATTATTGTCAGTCTAGCCAAGAGAAGAATAGCGTCGTGGATCCTTGACACTTTGACAGTCGTCGGGACGCAAGGTAGACGCGCAAGGGAAGGGAAAGGGTGGAGCAAAGAGTGGAAAACCGCGACCATCCCCTTACTCTCGTCTTCCTCCTCCTCGTCTATACTCGTCATTGACAGCTGTCAGCCGTCAGCGTTGGAAAGTTTTACGAGGACGAAAGTTGATATTGCTGCGCTTGCAGCTTTGCCCCTTCTCACCCTTTCACACCCCCTCACTCGAACGTCCTCTCCTCTTCCACCGAACTCGTCGATTTCTCTCGCTCTCTTTCTGTTTTTTTTTCTTTCTTTTTTTTTTTTATATATTTTTTTTATCCCTTTGTGTGCCCTTTCTTTCCGCCACTTTTTGCCCATACTATACTCCGTACGCTTTGCTGCTCTCCTCTCTCTGTTCTCACTTAATCCATTTTTTTTTCAGTTCTCTATCTATTTCGATGTTCTTTTGTGTCCCGATTATTTCTCAATTTTCTATTGTTTCGTTAGCTGTCCCTTTATCAATTGTTCTTTTCCACGCTGTACAATCGTGTTTCCCGAGATCGACGTTGTCATCGCGTGGATCTATCCTTTTCTGGTTATCCTAGTTTTCCTTCCTATGTGTTTCTACGCTTTTCACAGACAATGATAGTTGGAATTTAATTTCAGCTTCTACCAGATTTTCATTTCCTGAATTACAAACAACTTCATTAAATATTACTTTCCAATGCATGAAACGATTTTTATCAGAAAAATTTCAACGTACCATTTTAGTCGAGCAACCCGTTATATACAGGGTTCATCCGTCTCGATAGTTCGAAAAAGATCAGACTCTTGATAGATTTATGCCTAATAAATTTTGCACAGTACTTCCAGGAGTTACTACAACAAATATAAATGAATTTGATGAATAATAACATAACATATACACGTTCTAAATTCATGAATAGGTGACAGCAGCCTTTAAAGTGTTTACTTTCAAATTTTTTACCTTACAGAAATTCCTTCGAAACGAAAAGCGTGAGGTAAAATCGGCGAATAAATTGATCCTCTGGAAAGAGGTGGTCGATAATCGACGCTTCAATTTCGACAGGAGAAAAAACGAGCATGAAGATTGGAAGAACAGGCAGGGTTAGGGTGTGGAGGAAAAAAAAACAAAAAAATCGAAAATGTTCCCAGCCGTTCAGTGGGGGTTGTTCGTTCTCTCGATGACGACGTCACGGATTGAAATGGCGCGTAAAATGGCCACTGTTCCCAAGGGCGAAATATTCCAAGTCTCCAATTTTATTCATTCCCAGTGTGTTTCTCTTTCCTCTCTCTCCCACTCGCAAACCCCAATCACCCTTCTGGTGTTTTTTTTCTCTCACGCAACTACGTGAGCGGAGAGAAACGTCATTGTGTAAGAGAGAGAGAGAGTGAGCGCGCGTGCAAAGGGGCGGGAGGGTTAAAACGGTGTTGGCACCCCCTCCGAAAAAACATTTGTTATTCAAGGGAACAGGTTCCTGGTCGAATCAGTGGGAACACGAAGAGGCAAAGTGGAGGGCGTATAAATGGACGGGAATAGGAAAATAATATCGATGAAGTGGTGCTACACTCGCTTTTCAAGCAGACTTCGAATTTCTAGAGGAAATCGATCGCTCAGAGAAATTGCTGGGCAAACAGGAAGCTTTATTTCGTGTAACAACACTCGTACAAAGTTTCAGAATGAGTGTTGACACAAATTATTTCAATCCAAAAACTCTATTACTATAGTTATTTCAATTAGAGAACTTGTATCCGTTGCAACCCTTGCATATTTTTGAATTAAATTCCATATGAAAATTGTGCTCCCAGCGGCAAAAATGCGAACTACCGAACCAATAAATTTTCTGCAAAATTAAACATCCCTGCATTCTTTTCATCCCTACATTCCTTAAATCTCTTCATCCCTTACATCTCTGCTTCCCTTACATCCCTGCATTCCTCACATCTCTACGTCCCTTACATCTCGGCATTCCTCACATTCCTGCCTTCTTTATATCCCTTCATCCCTTACATCTCTGCTTCCCTTACATCCCTGCATTTCTCACATCTCTACGTCCCTTACATCTCTGCATTCCTCACATTCCTGCCTTCTTTATATCCGAACATCCCTTACATCCCTGTATCCCTTACATCCCTGCATCCCTTATATCCCTGCATCCCTTACATCCCTGCATCCCTTACATCCTTGTATCCTTTACATCCTTGTATCACTTATATTCCTGTATTCCATACATCCCAGTACTCCCTGTAATTGAGTTGAAATTTTTACGGCCTGCGATTTTATACAAATTTAGTTCCTCTTTTCGCCACCAGAGGGCGCTGATTCGATGTCGAATCAGCGCCATCTGGTTTCAAAAAAAGGAACTAAACCTTGCCGAAATTTTGGCCCTCTAGCGGGAAAAATTTGAACTAAAATTTCGACGTCGAATCAGCGCCATCTGGTTTCAAAAAAGGGAACTAAACCTTGCCGAAATTTTGGCCCTCTGGCGGCAAAAATGCGAACTAAAATTTCGATGTCGAATCAGCGCCATCTGGTTTTGAAAAAAGGAACTAAATCTTGCTCTATTTCTGGCCCTCTGGCAGCAAAAATGTGAACTAAAATTTCGATGTCGCATCAGCGCCATCTGGTTTTGAAAAAAGGAACTAAAGCTTGCTCTATTTCTGGCCCTCTGGCGGCAAAAATGTGAACTAAAATTTCGATGTCGAATCAGCGCCCTCTGATGGCGAGAAAAGGAACTAACTTTACTTACCTTTACTTACCTTTACTCGAAGCAGTCTTTATAATATATTTATTATAAGGGATGCAGAGATGTAAGGAATGTAGGGGTGAAAGGAATGAAGGGATGAAAAGAATGTAGGGATGAAAAGAGTGTAGGGATTTAAGCGATGAAGAGGTGTAAGGAATGTTGGGATTTAAGGGATGAAGAGGTGTAAGGAACGTAGGGATGAAGAGGTGTAAGGAATGTAGGGATGAAAAGAATGCTGGGATGCAGGGATGTAACGGAACGAGGGTTGTAAAGGGATCCCGTAGGGATCTGGGGCTGGGGCCCTGGTCTCCACTGCACGCGGCCCGAGAAGTGCCGGCATCGGGTGTGGCCCCCGATGTCGGCGGAGTTTGGCACATTGCGGAGGGTTAAAAGACCCTCCCTGCCGCCCTAGTGTAGGCCACCGTGGTGGTTTTAGTGGGTAAAAATCCCACACTACCTCCGGCCCCTCCCCAGGGGGGCTGGAGGTGTCTTTTCGAAGATTTCCACCACGTTAAAAAAAAAAAAAAAAAAAAAAAAAAATGGGGGTATCTGGAACTCTCAAAATCATGATCCATCGAGAACAAAAGCACGTCTAATATCTTTGTACCTGCAGTCAGTTTGATTATACATGACAAGTATTTTAAAAAGTGTACCTATTGAACAAATTTTGTAACTTTTGTCAGAGTGAAAGGTGTGCTCGCGAGATAACCTTTCTCCAATGTATGATAAATTTAACACACGATTGAACTTAACGGCGTAAGAATAGCATAGAGACGAAGATAACAAAATCTGTGAAAAAGGGGGGACGGGGTAAAAGAGAGCAACAGGATGGCAGAAGGAAGATAGCGAACAAAGGAAGCAAAGAAAAAAAGAAGGTCTCGGTGCTTCCATTCGCTGTGCATAATTGATTGGCGCTTCAAAGGGCCCGGGAATAATCCAGGGCACTGTATAACGTTGATACGGTACTTTTTCATCCTCGGCTCGACTCTCGTCTGTCTCGATAAAGCTGCGACCCGTACGTTCGTATTGATCCGGATCACAATGGCTGGCGATCTGACATGCCCCGATGTTCTTGCACTATTCTCGTTCTCTGATGGAAAAGAGAGGACCGTGGAGAAAAGCGAAAAGAGCAAAGGAACACGTTCCGTCGTTAAATAATAGATAGAGTCGCGAAGCAGAAACACGATTTACTAACGATTTACTAGGCACTGAGGATCAAAATGTTCGTTGTATTCTCGAATAAAAGGCTGATGCTTGATTACACAAGGATGCTCGTGACGAAACTCGAACGTTCAGCATAATAACGAGTTGGTCTCGCGGACGTCGCGTTCAATTTGTAAAAGGCCGATTCGAGTGGATCCACGCGGTCGTCAGGGCATTAACGGAAACAAGTTTCACGATTTACCCGGCAAAGGGCACGAAAGGGTCGCCGGAGACTGGTTGCTGGTCGCTGGTGTTCCCGGTGAAAGAGAAGGAACGATGAGGAAGAGAGAGAGAGAGAGAGAAAGATCCTCTTTATTGACCCTCGAAACGAGTTTAAACCGAGGGTGAAGCGGCCTGATTGCCGCACCGATTGTATTTGGTGCGGCATAATGAAAATTCTTCTTGCGTCATCTGCCCTCGAGGATAGTTTAACGGCATACTGAAATCCTTTCCACCCTCATAGTTGTCCGCTAGTTGATCGCAATTCTCTCGTTCCGTTCAACTTTTATCGAGAACCTCCTTTACAGTCGTACCGGCTCTCTGGACGATCAGGAAATTAATTAACCCTTTGCAGACGGCACACTTTTCAGCTCGATTTTTCCTTCGTTTAGAATATTCGACGTTTAACAGATTGATTACTATGAGATTGGTACCGCAAGTTTGTTATAATTACCAAGTAATTGAAAAAAGAAAATAGAGAATGTAAATTTGGAGGATGCTTGGGAGAAAAGCGAAACGACGCCGCGATTACAAACTCGTTCGTTCGTTATTCATTCATCAAAATTACTGGCAGATTTGCGGCTTTCCAGTTCGAAATCACCATAAAACCCATGGAAGACACTGGAGAATTCATAGAGTTTCAGAATGAAGTATAACGAGAAAGTGGAGGGAAGGTGGAAAGGTAGGCAGGCAGGCAGGAGAAAATTGCGTTTCCGCGTCGGCACGGCCGGAAACAGGATGGAAGCGGCCCGGTTCCGACGCTTCTTTTCTTTACCCAAACGATTCTTCGCGCTTCTTCGCCGTCAACTGTTGCGAATATCTCGAAAAGCTGACTTTACGCTTACAAAAGCGGACGTCTCGCGCCGAGCCGTCGCGTGATGCGGAAAATAACGCGACTTTTCAAATCATCGATAAATTCTTACCTTTTATTCTATACATATTTTCGGTTTACTCGTACCGTCGCGAATTTTATGCTATCCTATTGTATTATAGATAAGAAAATACAAAAGATTACATAAAAGGAAGAGAGAAATTGGTACAGTCGAAGATACGAGTAACGAAACTTGACAGGTTTCCGATATCGCGACCCTGTCACGCCAGACAATTCGAACCTATTGATTATACTCCACCACCTGGCTTTAATCTGCCACCCTCTACGTTCCCGTAAATATATCGCTGGCTATATTTTACCTTTTACTTAACGTCTCGTCGCTGGATTTACGTTTCTCGATACAAGCTTCACCCTAGGGGCAAGGTAAACGTACACAACCATTTTATTTCTAATGCCCTTTCTTTATTTCATTTCCAATATTCGGGAAGAACAGTCTCGCTTCTATCGCAAAGTTGCAGGATTCTTTGAAGGAAACGCGATTTAAGACTCTCGAGGTCGCCTCCTCGAAAGAGACTGGATTATAAGCGGCACTACCTCGAACTTGATACAAACAGGTGCACCAGCTCCCGTCTCCCTCTTATTCTCCTCCTCCTCCTCTTCGTATACACCAAGTCCGACAGGAAGAAGAGAAGTTTCCCGTGGATTGCACGGAACCGCAGCCGCAAAAGCGTCTAATATTGTATTCATGAAGCGACGAGCGTTCGAAGCGTACTGAATAAATAAATAAATAACCGAACGCGCGAACCTCGACGCGTGCGATGGCTCCTGGCTTTGAAACCCGTTTAAAGCCAACTTTAATCGTCATATTTTTTCAAATCACCACTATCGAGTGCATCTCGATAATTTACAACAATTATTAAACAGTTACAAGAACTACTATCTCCTTTACCTGTCTACATTTTACCTTTCTTTTTTCTTCTTTCAGTCGGATAAAATCAGTGGAGCAACGTCAACGCGGCTGTGTTTATACAGAGGAGAGAAAGAAGAAAAGAAAAAAAAGAGGAGAAAAGGAGAAATAAAGAGTGAGATGAGGGCGGTAGAGGGTGACCAGCAGTGGAGGTTGACAACTTCGAGAGCTCTTTCAATTTATCTCATCCCCTGAAGCGCCCTCTCCTCTTCCAACCCCCTTTTCCAGCCGTGCATTTCTATTCTTCCTCTACTTCTCCTCTTTGTCTTTGTATACCCCGGTCTCTTGCCGCGTTCTTACGACGATATTTATTAAAGCACTGTCACGTCGCGTAAAGAGAGAACGGGCGAAAGTTGGCGGCGCGTTTAAGCGACCGTATATCGCATTCGCCGATAAATCCGCCTGAGACTTCTGGCGGGCAAGCAAACTAGCTTAAAATCCAGATGATATAATTCTATAAAATTTAAAATTCTTACAAACGAGTAGTCGAACACAGGAGGGCATTATTCGTAGAAGCCGGTGTATTTGAGAAACGCGACAGGAGGAACAGCTTCGGAGAGGAGCCGATGAAAATGCGACTCGCGTTGCCTCGAACACGAGCTAACCCAGGAAAATGGAACGCCTCGAGATGCGAACAATCGGCCTGGATACTCGCTCGTTCCGGTCCAGGCATTCGAATTTGCATCTCTCAGAGCGTTCGCCTTCGTCGTTGCAGTCTTTCATATTTCTCTCGGACTTGATGCTCGCTCTTCTTGCACTTTTCAAACAGGAATTTAACATGAATCAAGCTTTATACGGTATTTCAGAAAAAAAAATGGACAAGTATTATGTCAATCGTTCGTCAAGAGGAGGCACGTGTCGTCGAAGCGACCGATTATAATTATTGTCACGATTTGCGGCTCTGAAAACGTCTGATTATACAGGCTCGTCGCTTCGTATCGTGGTTGTAACACGCGTTCAACCTCCGCGAAACATTCGCAACTACAATAATAATAATTATGATAACGGAAACAGAATTACGAAACGTCCAATTTAACCGGCAAAACGTTGACCGCTCTACCAGCGTATTAATAATTACGCTGCCGTAATGGTATTCCCGTAATAGCAGCAACGATAATAATTAGACGAACGTTAACGTCGAATTACCGGTTCGCATTCGATTTCGAAATCCTTCAGAATCCTTTTCCTTCGGAAGCGTTTGATTTCGAAGAAAACGCGTAACCCAATTGGTAAAACAATCGTGTAAAGGCTTCGAAAAGGCTTGCTTAAGGGTTCGATAATTAACCGATTAATCCTTGGTAACTGCCTATTCGATCCCGAATACCTGCACACCCTCGAACTCGATGCCGCTCGTCAAGGTTCTTCGAATCCTTCGAAGAATCCAGATATCCCGTCGGAGGGGTTCGCGAAAGGGCAATATAATCCGTGGAAGGGCTCGTACGGTATTTTATTACAAACCAGTCGATAGCAGAAGCGGGATAAACGGGGGGAAGCTGATGGAACAAGGAAGAGGAGGACGAGCTTTTCGGGATTCGGACAAAGGGACGAGGAGACTGTCTGCCGCTGTTGGTAACCCTTGTATTGTTTCGTTAACGGTAATCCGAAGCTTTCGGTGTACCGGCATTTTGGATGGAAGGATCTCACGAAAGACGTTGGAACGACGTATTTTGTGAAAAAAAAAAAAAAAAAAAAAGAAAAGACAAGGGAGAACGAAGGCGTATGGGGATGGAGGTCGATACGGAGGATATTTCATGGGGTGAACGCAGCAGGTGATCCAGAGTGATTTGCGGTGTTGGCGATAAATCGGGCAAAGCACCCTTGAAAATATATCTTTCAAGTATTTGAATAAAAAAGCAGAAGAAACTGAAGATATCGAGCTTTTCGAGTTAATTAAAAATTGTTGAAACACAGTGTATATTAAGTGAGCAAAAATGTTGGAACATTTAAACAGAAGGTTGTAAACAGTTTAGGAAATAAATTGGATGCTTCAAGTAGCACTCGTCTTCGTTATTGCACCAGCTATTTCTCCTGTGTATCCCTTTTACGAGAACCTTAAATATTTCACGGAATAGTGGGCACGAAATAAAGAATACTAGCTGGTCGTTTTTATTTTGCTTGCCAGCTGGGTAGGCGGTAAAACACGGGAACGGCGTTTATGAGTTACGATGTCTTTCCCCAAGTTTTCGAGTCGTGCCGTTTTGCGGGGCTTTAAATTCCGCGAGGAATCGCGCGAACATCGTTCCGCGATATTGGACAACGATATCTGGCGCCGCGCCGTTCCATTACTTTCTTCTTTACCTTTCTTTACCAGTCCGCGATAAACCGTCCTGATTTTCGCATCCTTCTTTCATTTTCTAACAGCTCATTGCCTGGTATTCAAGCGGAAACACAACTTTTCTTAATACACGCGAAGGATACCCTTTGAATATATTCCATTCCATTTCGATCTAGATTACGCTTTTTCTCCCTTCTATTGTTATACAACGTCTTACAAAAGTTTACAAGAAATGTGGTAGAAAATGAAGCTTAGAGAGCAGCTGGGCTGACCTTTACCGTGGAAAATTGCACGGGTCGATGGATTTTTGCGAAGGGCAAACTACGATTCCGGACGAAAGAGCCACGAGGCAACCTTCGACGCTCGATGAAATACGAGGCAACCGTTTGGGAATAATTAAAGGCCGCCAGCAGGGATAACGTTGGATACCGGTGTCGATAGGCAATTTTACGGGCCGTGAAAACGGGCTTAAAGAACTCGATGACGAGGCTGGCCAGTCGACGTTGAAGGTCAATATCCAAGGGTTTACGCGGATGACAAATTGCTACACCTTAAAGCTGCAGTTTTAGAAGACATGAAAAAAAAAAGAAAATGTAAATCTACATTGAGTCGTTACAGAATACCGGAAGAAAATGAAACGCGTCGAATCTCTTTTCCTCGGCAAGCTCCAATTCGTGTTTCTCCGTTTCGGTTTCTCTCAGGACGTCGAATTAAACGGCAATCCCCGCAAGGAAAGCTAATTACGTAAGTTCGTGTATCGACTTCTCCTCTGCAACGGAACGAAACAACGACGAAAGAAAAGAAAAAGAGCCAGAGGGTGGAAAAGGAAAATGGAACAACTGACGGATGTATTTCTAAATTCCATAGAAGGCGAGCGAGTTCGAAACGAAAATCTTTATTTCACCGTGGGCGTCGTACACCTCGCTCGCATAATTAGTCGCGAAGCGCGTTCCAATTACGGGGACGCGACATCGGCCCTAATGAGCCACTCGCAAGTAAGCTGGCAAGAGCTTTGACTAATTAAGTCCCAGCTGGCCTCGCCATCGGCCACCCCTTCGTTCTCGCTCTCTTTGCTCGCAACCCACTCGTCGTCGCGCCCTTTTTTGTTTTTTTTTTCCAGCAGATCTGCTGGAAAAGCTTCTCCGGACGACAGTCGAGATAACAGGTTCCGTTCGCTTCGAGCACGCGTCAAGGCGACTTTTGTCCAGCGACGATCTGTGCGCGTCTATCGATCACGAAACGCACCGCACCGCACCGCACCGAGTGCGCCGGCATTGTTTCTCGAAAGGGAGGAAGGGTAAATAAAGGGCGGTTCGCATATCGTCAGCTAATAAGGTACGAGACGCAGAGCTCGGCCAATTTGTATAGCCGACGGACGAGAGTGATCTTGTGGACGAGTGAGGATCGAACGCATCGTCGAGAGTGAAGGAGAGAAGAGGTAGCGGGTGAATAGACATCGCCTCGAGCGCAACCCTCCTGATCGGGAATTGCTCGTTACGCGATCGAGTCTCCGTGTGAGCGGAAACTATGTTTCCTTCGGTATAACAACGATCCCGTTGCTCGCTTCCACCTCCGATTATCCTCTTAATTAGCGACGAAAAACTTGTCGACAAATTTTCAGATACTCTAGAACAACACCGAGCATCGTATAAAGTGTGTCAAGTTCATCGTCTTCCGTGCGTAACACCATCCGCACCGGGACATAACGAAATTCTACGATAATGCACAGCATCAAAGGCATCCTTTATTAAGTTAAAAACCACTCGCGGGCGAGGAAAACACCGCGAGCTAAATCAATTAGACAACGTCGAACTTGCACCAAAATGTTCAATTACTCTAGACTCAAGAAACAAGTAAACATCTGGAAACGCGTAAAAAGTTGTTCTACTTTCTTACCATCGAAGTAACCGCGGACTTGCTTTTTTTTATTAGCAAAGCTAAAGAAGCGAAAAGAATTAAAAGCGAACTGACTTGGGGAAAAAAAAGCGAAACGTCTCGATTCGAATCTCGATGCTACGTTACCTGGTTTGGTTTCGTTTGTTCAAGGATCGAGAGGCAAAGCGTTTTTGCTAGAGAAAGCTGAAACGGGAACGGACTGTTCGGTAGGATGGAAGCTCGAAGGGGTTAGAAATGCGAAGAGGAGGAGGAACATTTGCATGCGAGACGCGGGAAGATGTTTGCAGAGCAATTTCGTGCGCACCGGCTCGATCGGTTCGATACACGCGATCGATCGATACGCGTCTACCGCTGCTTGTTTCTGATTAGCTAGAAAACACGAACGTTCGATGTAACAAGTCCGTGCTGCGAGTACAATCGATAGATTGATTGCTATTCGATAGGATGAAATTGAAAATCGAAACTAGAATAGGTGCTGGTAATCGAAACTCGATACACCGACCTTTGCGGTTCCATTTAATGAGTGGGTACATTTTTCGTTTTCTTCGCTTGTATCGTGAGAAAAATTGATATACACGAAAATATGTTTAAAAATCGTAAGAGTAAATTTTTTATTCCCTTTACCTTCCATTCCGTTTTTTTGCAACAGCAAAGACAGAAGGTAAAAACGAAGCCACGACGCAGCGCGGAACGATGTTCACCAAAAATTCAACAGCTATTCAGTAAGCGTCGGGACGCTGCGAGGTAGAGAAACAACGAGACCCGTGCTCATTTCGCGGACGCACCAGCCGCGTTATTGTTCTCGCAATTACGCTTCGAAAATCCACCTTCTGCCCGGCTCTAACGAACTTTCGGCAAACGCGATTCCCGGGGTTCCGCAAATATTTGCACGGCTCCCGGCGTCGCGACGCTTACCCCCATACCCTCTCCTCGTCGCCCCCGTAAGTCTGCCACCGCGAAAAATTTCGCGCGATTATGATTTTTTTTCCAACCTCCACGAACCTGCCGCGGGAAAAAAGCCCGGCTGCTCCGCGTTTGCCAGACGATTCCGCTTGGAAATTCGTTTGCTCGGAAAACCATGGTACTATGAATTTCCAGGAAACTTTGTCGCTTTTGTACGGCTTTTCAATTCGAAGGAATCGGAGGAAACACCGCGATTAATTTAGATTAACGTCGAATATTGCACAAATATTATTTCCAACGAGAATCGTAAAAATGTTCAGCCAGAACAGAAACTCGCGGAAGTTGATTAATTACTCGACACCGTTTTAAAACGCTTGAAATGATCCAAAGCAGCGCGATACCGGTGCTAATTACGCGGAAGAGGAACGAAACGTTCGAAAGGATACGTCTTCCTTTTTCCAGGGAAATATTCGCAAACCTGGCAACCAGCTGAACGTTCAACGTACTTAATTCAGAGTATGGCGTATATATTCAATGGTCCCGAATTTTTGGTCGTTCCATCCTGAATACGAACCATTCATTTTTCAAACCCTCCGCCACGTCGCTCCTTCTTCATCCTCCTTCTTTCTGCCAACGATTCATCCTATCATTTCCCATCCCTTTCCTCCACCTACTACCCTCGTTCCAGTCAAAATGAAGCCGTGAAATAGTTCCATTTGGAAAATGAGGTTCAGACAGGTTTTTAGCCACGCGGCGCGGAGCGGCGCGGCGTATGGAACGGGAGACGAACGGAAATGTTAATTGACGCGTACAGTCTGTGCTCCCCGCGTGATCGATGAGCAAATATTTGGAAAATTACGCGAAACGATAACCCGTTTAACGCGGTCATACAAACCGTGGCGCGTCCAGCGTCGAAATTTATTTTTACGGGTTCAGATTAAACATCGTAATAGCAATGGTTGCGGTGCCAATACAGACCATGCCGTGTCTTCATTTGCACTCGACGTTATAAACTAATTTCCTCTCGATCGTTCGAGTGCAAAGCTATTTGAAAAACTTTCTTCTTTTCTCTCGCGTGTCGTTTAACAAGAGGAAAAAGATGTAAACGCGAGTAAAGAAAGTGCTCGAAGCGGAATGGTGAAGGGATCATTGAGATCGGCGCGAAAAGCGCGTCGAAACGGCATTTAAATTCGTTAGAAGGCTCGAAGCATCCACTTCACGCCAAACCAGCACGAAAGGGTAATTAAATAGCATTGGACGAGCATTTAGAGAGTACTCGCGATACGTGTCCCCGCGAATCCATAAAGGAGCAGTGGCTCGTTCACTGGCGGTGAAAAAAGAGCATCGGACGAAAAGGAAAGGAGAAAAAGATCCGATTGAAATTTCATTTTATATGTAGAAGCCACATTTTTGCTTCACGCGTTACGACAAGTACAAGGTGAAACGTTTTATATATCCTGTCCATGGAAATAAAGAAATTAAGTAATTCATTGTTCATTGTTCATTTGATTTCTGTTCGTTTACTTGACCCTTCGTTTGCTCTTTTATGTTTCTCTTCGAGAGACAGCCCCACGTTTACCCCTTTCCGCGTGTCACTCATCCCCTGACATTTCCTCTTTAACCTCACCACTTCGAGAGGAGAAACTCGTAAACTAGCGGAACTGATCTCTGGTCAGAGAACAGAACTCTAACCCTGTTGGCAGTCTGTAGCGCCCTTTTGGCACACCCTTCAGTCCCGTTGTTCGAAATTGCAGCCACTTTCGTTGTTATTCGCATTTTACTGCGCGTCGAAAGCAACGAGAAAGGTGATTTATTTATTTATTATTTTTTTTTTTTTTTTTACAAAGTCATAGTTTTCATTTATGTTTCTCTGAATAGAATTAAAATCAATTAATAAACAAAGGTGTACCATTTCTTTTTTTATTTTCCATTTTTCATTGAGGTAGAAATTGTTTGCCCATTTTATTTTGGAACGATAAATCGTTTCGTGGCCTAGATTTATCTTTGGTCCCAACAAAATGATGGAAATAAATTAAAAACATAGATTTCCTGGTGCTTGAAAAGCAGCGACGATACAAGGTACGTTGAACATCACCGAGATGTATAAAAAACAATTTTCATTTTTGCAACAGGTACTCCCAACGATTTCTAGCTGGCAGCTACCGTTACAGTTATTTTTCCACGGCGCGAACAAATTTACGTTTTGTCGCCTCGACAAATGCGAAAAAATGCGAAAAATGCGAATCGGTTGTTTCGATTCCCGAAACGAATGCTTTTCTGTCCGGGTGAAATTTCCAGAAAAATGCGTCCGAAATTTGTGCCAACAAAAAAAAAAAAAGAACCATCATGAAAAAACGTCTGTCAATACTGAATGCTGAATGGCCAAAGTGTTGATGGTAAGAATAATAAATTTAAAAAACTGTATTTAAATGGAAAATATGGATAACGTTAAATAAAATATAAGAAATGAATGGTAAGTAACATGTAGCGTAAACGATAATTGAACTGTGTAACCTATATTATCGAGTGCAGTATTAAGCATGGTTACGTCTATTGTCGATGCGTTAAGAGCGAAAATGGTACTGGCAATTTTTCACCGCACGAATAAAGGAAAAAAGAAAAAAAAAATAGTTTCCTTCCGGCGTGCTATTAATCCCCGCAGCCCGGAAACCGCAGTCACTTCCCGGTTATTCGTATGCTAGCCAAGAGCGAATTCGTGTTTCGTCATTTCTGCGGTTCCGGGTGGTCGTGTGGGTGCTTCGCTGGGTGAACTCACGCGTCGACGGATCTCGAGGCTGGAAATGGACTGTTTCGTTTTCGAAATATGACTCGTCTCGCCAAATGGATATGAATCACTGGGAACGACGCACAGTACCGAGTAAACTTTGCGATTTATGCGAACGCACGAGCCTCACCGACTTGGATTCATCCTCGAAACTGCTCCTCGATTCCCCTCGACTTCCCATCCCGTTCGACCGGAACTCCGACGGTCCTTGCAACCAGTTCTTTGACATTTTGACAGCGGGTTATCGTTCATAGTCCCATACCGATCGAATTTCACACCGACGAATCGTCGACTCCGAGAAAGTACTTTCTTTTCTTTCGAAACTCGGAAAGTCGTGAAAGTTTTCGATACGTTGCGAGAGAAAGAGGTTTGCTTCTGGCGAAAGATCCTTCAAAATTTTTTGATATACGATCTTATGTTTCTCTTATTCGCTCGTTCAAATTTATATACTTAATTTTCGTCTTCTTTTATGCTTCGAGAGAAAATTTTCACGAACCGGGTCATCGTTCACTTCGTTAACGAACCACAAATTAAGCGCAAGAGAAACTTAATTTGCAGCGCACGTTCGCAGCTATTCAATTCACGAACCGCTCGAAAATTTCAAGAGATTCGCGAGAGTTCGAGGGCGCACTAGTATAAACGAACGGTTTTTCAAACGAGCGAAACAATGCAATTTCAGGAGGTTGAAAATTAATCCCAGTAGAATAACCCGTATCTCTGGAGGCTGCTCGAGAGAAATCGTTCGAGCGAGTTGTTCTTTCGGTTTCGAAGAAGAAAACCCGGAATCACGAATGCTCTTCATTCGCCTCGATTAATATTCTCGTTTCGTTTAATGTGTCTCTGCTCGCTGATAATAGCGCCGGCCGAGTATCGCTAATTACGATACTTTTTCACCTTTTCTTTCCCGCGCGAATAACAATGCGCCTTCGATTAATTATCGATCACCCATGGCGATTTCCAGTTCTCCAAATTTGCCAAGTTGGAAAAACGGATCGGTACCTTGGGAATGATTATAAAGGGAAAAAATGTCAAGTCGACGACAAGTTTGCAAAGTTTTGCACCAGATCTCGTTAATAAACGATATCGAGCGCAGCGCAGCGTATCGAGTACTCGATATTCGTCGCGATATCAAGTTAACATCCAATTAATAACGAATTCATTTTCGCCGCTAATTGCTTGACTGGAATAAAGCGTAGGAGGCAACGAATTATTAAAACGCGTACAAATTAATCATGGTCACGAGGCTGGTAATTACACTTGATTCGGGCCGTCACGAGGGAATAAAACACATTCGTGTACACCCGCCGACTGAAGCAGTCTTTCAGTGTGAAATGATAATTAAATTCTACCGCCTCCGGCGATCGTGCCGTCATACGAGTGCATCGCTCTGCTCTTCAACAGAGAAAATTGTGTTTCTTCGAGAAAACCAACGTTCCGGTAATTGGATAGTTTCCTACCGACGACCAGACGACTTAAGTGATTGATTCGATTTCAGAAGCAGCAGCGAAACGTTCAGCTGAATTTCGACGGAATTTTATTCATTTCTCGCATCTAACGTTGCTCGCGTTTTCACGTTAAACTTGTTTTTCAATTATTCGATTACATCGAACATCGACCGCGGTAAACGTGTTAATAGGTTCTTATTAAAATCTGACTGACGATTAAGACGCAAAGTCAGCCGTAAATCTGTTATAATCTCATAAGACTGGAATAAGAGCAAGTTTACGGATAGGAACGACTTAACCGATAGCGTTCATTATTCGCGTGCATTCTTGGAGCTTCGCAAATCCATAGCCGTGGTGGCATAATCGTCCTATCGAGTTTATCGGAAACTTTCCAGTCGCGGTTTCGTACACAATATTCATCAAGATTAAAAGTTCCGTAATCCACGTTCTTACCTGAACGTTGTACGCCGTTTAAAATAATTAAAAAAACGTCGAAATTCGATGTTACTTACGGGTACGAACGATCAAATATCCTTGGAATAATTTCATCGAAATCGGTGAAATTTCATGGTTTCTCGAAAGGTAGTTTAACACAGAACTACCGTCTGCCGCATTCGTCCGTGAATTTACTGCAACGGTTTATATTTCCGTGACACGCGCGGAGAAAAGTGGATACAATGTGCAAAATGTGTAAATTCGTGTCACTGGGAATGCGAGGCCGGAGAATAATGACCCCGAGCCCACTTGGCGCGTTTCCTACTCCCGGCTACGTGTTTATTATTTATTATTCGATTTAAAACGCAAAGGAGCGCGATACTTTACCGAAAGAAATTCCACTGACGTTTTCGCCTAGCCTTTAAATTCTCAACCATGCATGACTGCTTTTCTTTTCTCTTCGAGGATAGTGTTAAACGGAGCGTTGAATGAAAAACACAATCGATTAAATGTTTGAATGAAACGTAGAAGAGAAAAAAAATTGACAGAAATTTTTTGGAGAGTGAAGAGCAGTCGACAGAAGGATCAGGAGCAAAAGCTCGTTCTAGCAAGAGGAGAGCGAACGGAAATTTGTGGGATCGTTCCGCTTTAAATCGCTTTCGATGCCGGTGTGTGTACTTAGGTACTTGACCGGTCGAATCGACACGAAAGACCAGAAGCAACATTCGCCGAACGAATATTGCCGGATCGATCGGTACTTGCCAACTCGTAATTAATTGCGGGGTATCGGTTTCTATCCTCCATCCTTTCGAGTACTATCAACCAGACCTATAGCAGCCGAAAAATAGCCTTCCAATGAAATTTCTTCTTCCAACCAGATGAATTTACGATGTATTCAAGGTACATAAATCGGATTTTAATCTTCGCGAGATGCCCTGTATATATCCATAGAGAAACTCTGGAAAATTCGTCAACGTTCGTTCGCAAAACCGATGTCAAATTAAAAAGCAAATATTTGTCCAACACATTCGGAGCGTCATGATTTCGGATCTCTTTTCGATTAATCTCCGCTTCAGGTTGGAAAAACGCGACAGGCCGTAGCTTGTAATTAATTGCGGAACATCGTGGTGTTCGCGAATTAAGCTCGATCCCGGGAATATTGCACGGTCAAAAACTGCAAAAGTCACGAATATTGCGAGGAGAAAGGAGCGGACGAGGATGGAAAAAAAAGAGAAGAAGCGGGAATTGCAATTATTGGCCCTTCCGCTGGTCCAAAGTAGCAGAATTTCCCAGGGCAAATTTCGTCGCGTTAAGGAAACGTTATTGCTTCGCGTAATCGCGAATCAACCTGGCTAGCCGCGAATTATCACCCATTCCTCTTCGTTCCGCGTCTTTTTTCCCCGTTAATTTTCTCCGTTAATTTTCTCCGTTTGCGAAACTTCTGCTAAAATTGGATAAACGTTCGAGAGAACGCGAACGCTTTCATCGTTCTCACTCATTGGAAAATATTTTTTCTCCACAAAGTTCCCGGACAGATCTCGCTACCGCGATGGTAACGTCGTTTTCCATAGCTTCGTAATTAATTAGAACGTCTCGTAATATTGCCAGCCCCTCCTTTCGTTTCTCGAGGGAGAACGTGACGCGATGCAACACGATTGAAATATTTTCCCTGTTAGTTTTGCTTCGTTTCCTCGACGTTGTAATTTCTGTTATACCAAACGAAAGATGGGAGTTCGTAACAGTTCACAGAGCTAATATCGTAGGCAAAAGTTTGCATCGTTCGCGTATATAAATGGTGCGAACGAGCTATTTCAAAGCGTGTTTCAAAAACGGATACATAAAGATACGAAATGAAAATAAAGCCGATAAATTAAATCCATAAAGTACACTCCTCAGCGGAAATCTTTGCTGAAAGAATATTCCACGGAATAAGGGGTAGCAATTTTCTTAAAGAACGCGTCGCGATGTAAATTCGCGTTGCAGCTTCTCGCGCAGAGGCCATTAATCTTGGCCTTTTTCGTTTTTTCTTTCTTTTCGAGGGAGAGAAACGGCTAAATACCCAGCGATTAAATCTTCCGATGCGGCGTCTTAGTGGCTGCCGGAAACCACGCTTACCCACCCCTCCCTTCCTCCCGATAAAGTCATTAACAACCGCGTATTTTTCTCCCTTAATGAGCTCGAACGTTATCTCGATGAGAGAGCGTAATATCAATTTCGAGCCTTGGATTACCTGTGTTCCACTTCCACGATTGTTTTCCATTCGCCACAGCTGAATTTCATTTGCTTCTCCACCGTGCCAAATTTTCACCCTTTATCTCTAGACTCGTATTATAGCAAATTATGCGCCTCTAAACAGACACCAGCTGCTTACAAATTTTAAACAAATCAGATCCCTAATTTTGTTAATGAAGAAAAGAGTTTGATAGACCGACGCGACGTTTCTTCGTAACGACGTATCCTTTTGATTCGCCAATCAACCATCGGTTAATTGACTCATTAACGTTCGCGTGCTTTTCTTTCGCTATGCCATCTAATAAACATCGAGGCAGGAAGTGACGTTGATTTCGTTCACGGGAAAAGAACCGTTTCCCTTTTGCCAGAGAGCTCAAGTAATATCCGGCCCTCTATTAAATTTCGGCCGACCTTCGGCCTTCGCTACGCGACTTTATTAATGTTCAATTAATTACTCCGCTATGCTGCCGCGTAGCTACGTTATTCGCCACTGATTTTACGAAGCCTGTTCGCGTACCAACGTCAAACTTCCCTGTCGCCATTTTGTTTCCCCTTTAGGTTCTCTGTAAAAGTTTCATATTTCATTGGTAGAGGATGCAGCGAACCAAAAGAAAGATATCGATCCCTTACAATTAGCGGAAAATTTCGTGGAATTTTTGTTTCGAAACCACGTAGAAAATATTTTCTACGCGCATTGTTTGCGTAACGATTGAAAAATATCCCTCGGCCACGGATACGACAATTTATCACTCGAATAACCATGTAAAAAGAATTTCATTGAAATAACGAGCACGGCCGATCTCGTGTTACCCTCTAAAACTAGGGTACACAGGTTCGAGCGTTCGCCAGCCTAACGATTCCACTTTGCCCGTCGGCCCACGTAGGCAGATGGTCGAGTCGAGATAATTACCCGTTTTAATTATTTAATTAATCCCGACGACGTTTTCGGTGTTTTATCTGGAAGCTCGTTAAGCCGGGCCGAGCGTGCACCACTCTACGCTTGGCACGACACACGCTCATCTACGATGAAATCAATGTAGGTGTAGGTGTGAGTGCACGAGGAACGGCTCGTAAGTACGGCCAAACAAATGAAGTCGTTCATTTTCGGAACGGCATTTATCCATTCGATCAAATTGCACGCCGTTCACTATGGCCCTTAATCTATCGCGCATTTATTTCTGTTTATTCAAGAGCCTTCAAAATTATTTGCGCCATCCCAGCCCATTGTGTACCCGTCGTTAGTCCAACGGCTTGCTTTCCAATAACAGCTTTCGAATATGCTTTGCGTTTGTTTTTTGTTGCGGTAAAACGCGGCTTAATATTTTAAATGATATACATATAAAATTATGAAATTCGTTAGACAATGTAATCGATAAAAAAAATGGTGTAGCACTTTCGAAGCAACGAGTGTAAAGAGGCACTCAAGCAGCCCCTTCCCTTCGACGATATATCAATTTCATCGAACGTTAACCAGCCTCGAAGTTCTCCATAAACCTCTTGGGAATCGCGACGAGAGTCGACAAGTGAAAAGGGACGAAAGAAATGGCAACTCGAGCTGGACGTTAACGAGGTTATTACTGGTTTCGATTGCACCCTCTGCTTGCGTAACTGTAAATAAGGGAACATCGGGGCTGCGAAGGGATACTTGGCTCAACAGATACGACCAACAAGGGCAATTACTTCGAATCTTGCGATGTTGTACGTATCCAATAATTTTTAAAGTCGAATCATTCCGCATCGTTGACGCTAGACCGATGCATATGATATTTCCATATTTCGAAAGGAGAGAATAGAAGAGAAGGAAATTGATTATCCATCAGTCGCAGGGGCGAAAGTTGTAGCGTTACAGGGATGGAAGAAAGAATTGATAGAATTCAATTAACGAGTAGGCGCGTCCGAATTCGACAACAGACCGTGTACAGGTTTTCCCGATGCGGAGGGAAAGCTGCGCAGTTTTTCCCACGGGATGTCGCGGCGACCAGAGCCTCCCCCTCGAGGGATACGAGAATTCCCTTCGTGTATGTTCACTCACTCCAATCACGAGCCATACATCAGTTTGCGTCATTGACGAGAAGAAACAGGGAGGAACGGAGAAAAATGTCCCGATTGTGAAAGTCCCGGGGGGATGAAACAGGGACTCGCTGCTGCCTCGATCGGTTCTCCCGTCTTTTCTTTCAATCTGACAAATTTTTTACCTATTCTTTCCATTTCCCATCGATGTTTGTAAAAAATAATAAATTTTCCAGTCGACGTTTGAGGTATTTACCTTGAATCGCGTTAAGGGTACACGCGTCGATCAAATCGATTCGATCCTCGTCAGAAACACGAACAAGGGAAAAATCTTCCGTTTCAGGATGAAAGTTTTTCACGGAGAACTGATTTCGATACAGCTGACAGAATGATCAACGAGGGTCAACCGAGATAGAATTAAAAAGTTGCAAGGATTTTCGAAGGACGTGTTCACCGACAGGCAAAGAGGGCACACGCGAAAACTGTCCCTACCTTCGAGTCTCGAGGGTAGCTCGCTAAGTGATAGATCACGAGGACTAATGCGGCCATACTGTCCTGTTATCTCCGAAGAAACCTTGTAAGAAAAAAGAAATTTCCTGACTTTCGGTCTCTGGTGTGTATATTTTCATTCACCGTCGTCACGAAGACACATCTTCCTTCGCTATCGATCGATGGACCAAGAATTTGGTGAGATCAAAATATTTTTAACGGAGAGAAAATCCATTTTCAGGATAAATCGTTGGTACGGAGTGAAATATTCTTCCTTCAACCGCGTCTCATCGCAATTCGCCTGCTAATATAAACTGCCTGTTAGCCAGGATATCATTTTGAAGGGAACTTTCTAATTGACACCGAAGAAACTAATTTTAACGAAATTCTCGACGAACCAGCTTCGATAATTTCGTAACTTCAAGTCAGACTGTTCTCAGTTAGCTCTCGAGGAATCAGAGAAATCTGACATCCACAGCCATGGTAATTTTGAATTTCTAGATTAAATTCTCGTTTAGCTCGTTACCTTGGCTTCCTTGCTAGTCCAGAGAAAATTCACTCGCGCAATCTTGCGCGATATCTTCTATTGTAATAACGATCCGATGTTGCAATCAAGACGCAATAATAACATTTTCGGTAAGCAACACCGAAACGCGGAGCTCTAGTCTTGTTTACCTCGTAGATAGGATCGAACCCTTGTCAGAGGGGGTAATCGGCTAATACGGAGGTCCAAACACAGAACCCGAATCGTGTACCTTCGATTAAGGGTGGCAAATGGGTGGGTGCTTACCGGTGGTGCGTTTTACAGGCGAAACGCGTTAACGGACGTTAAGTAATGGATGATCCGCTCGTTCGAGCCACGGTTTAGTTTCACTCGAGACTTTTGCTTAATAATTCACGCCAGGTCGGATCTGTATCACCGTCTAATTGCTCTGAAATATTGAACAGCGGATCGAGCGAAACTGTCCAAGGTTGGGCTTACTGAAATTTCAGCGAAACCGAAGAAGCCCTGCGGCCACTCCACGATTTTAGTATGATTGGCGAAGGAAAAGCGAATGTTCTGCAAGGATCAGGTGTAAGGTTGGAAGGGACTTTGCAGGAGGGTCGCCTGGTTCGTCGTTGCGGCGAGGAAATATTTTTCATTAATCTGATTATTTATCACCCGTCGAGCTTTCACGAGGGTTTCCCAGCCACCCTCTTACACGATGTAATCCTGGATGCGCCGCGCCGCGGTTACCCGTTTAACCGAAGCAAGCGGGGATAGAAGAACGAAGGGCGAAATCTATCGTTACGAAACTCAACGACACCACCCTACCTTATTTCTCACCCTCTTTTCATTTACATATCCACCGTCTGGTTGCATTCTCCGATGCAGGGAGAAACAGATTCGATTTATGACACTCTTGCTGAGCAAGGATTACACGAAAGCTTTTCAAGCTGGACAATACGGCAACTTTAGTTTCCTAATTATGTAGATCCTTCGAGTCGCTATCGTTCGTTAACCACCATTAAGGTGTATACACGCAAACTGTTTGAAAATGGTGCAACTTCTCGCTGATTATACCTTGTCAGCGGTTCGAAATAACTGCCGACTTCTCACTGTCACGAGTTAACCAGATGTGACTGCGTTTAAAAGCGGCCATTCGAAGTTTAAAGGCGATAAAAGGGAAGGAGAGGAAATCCGCGTGCAGGCTGAGCGACTGAATTGAAGGAAAGCTGTCTGTTGGACGAAAGCTACCGCTGCTCTCTCGTATAACTCGCTAGTAAAGTTATATTTAGCAAACTTTTCAACTTCCATCCCTCTTACATGGTAAGAGGGCAACGTCTGGGGATTCTGATGTTTGGAAGAAGTAAACATCATTAACGAGAAACCATAAAGCGCCTCTCAAACTTCCCGTAATAGAATGAACGCTTCAAGAATCTCATCGTCGCGATACAACCTACGTATAAGGCGTTACAAAAACATAGTTCGAGCTAAGATGGATACGTGGTTGAAAAGCGTGAAATTTCTATCCACCGTTGCATAGTACAAATCCTGACCGGTTCGATTGAAACAAATACAATTGCGTTGTTGGCGACTCGTTTACAAGCGACAATTCTCGAACAAACGAGTATCAGGATGCAACGAACACCGCGTGCGAAACGTACGAGCGTTCAGGGAGCGCAGGATTGCGCGTAATCGGTAGTATAGGACCATAGGATATATTCAGCGTGTGCGTGATGCATCAGTATTCGGCTCGCGATTCCGTGAACGCTCGTGGCCGTTTTCCCGCGTACGCGCTTCCATTTCTCGCCTTCTCTCTCTTCCTCTCTCAGCTCTAGCATTAAATTTCCGAGCGAACGGTGAAACGGAGCCGCGTAAATCATGCAACGATAATGCCGGATGCCGCGTTCCACCGATACGCTTAAGCGTCGCGACGCGGAACGAACGACGATTTCGAATTATCGTCGGCTCAAGAAGCGTTTCGATGACGAATCACCGCCGCTACAGGGGTGACAACATATCGGATGTATTCTTTATCATTTCATTTCATTTCATTTGAATATCAAGTTCGTTAGGGCAGAGTTTCCTTGAAGAATTTTCCAAATATTTCCGGACATTGTTGGCCGTCACCGGATCTAATTGTAAGAAAGACAGTTGAATAATGCCGGTTCACTTACTTAACACGACCACTTATTAAGCTTGACGTTTCTCGTTTCCACGATTTATAACCTTCATATCCGCTAATTAAATCAAATATAACTTCGCGAAATCGGCCGGGGACGCGGCGTAACGTCGATCATCATTACGGCAATGGCTTCTACTTTATGCAAAGCACTTTCAAAGAACACCGAGAGACGCTTTAATGGAGTTAGGGACACGCTGAGAAACCTCGATCGACGTTAACGCGACACGGGATCCTTAACCAACTACCTTACCGTGTTCCCTCGATGGAAATCTGTTGTTGTATACTATCAAAAATTCATGAACCCATCGAATATTGTTATTCCACTCTTCTGATGCTTCTCGAGTGAAATTTTTTTCAAGTATATTAAGATCTTTGGTAAAGTTTCGTCGGTGTTTCACAAAGGATCACGATTTATTAGAGTCGAAATTGTCGTTGTTTCTGGCTCGTTCGGTTGCGAACAAGAGGGCAACGACGACCTCCTTCTCCTGACATATGGTCTATTAGGACTAATAATAGTGACTGGAAGAGGCGCGAACGCCCGTATGCTCTACCACGAGCCAAGTCGTATGTCTTTTCAGCCAGTTCGTGGCTTCGTGCGTGGACCACCGTGGAAAACAGTACCGTACGATGCGCCTCTGAAGATGCATTATTTTTAATTCCTCGACAATTCTCACGTTTATATCGCAAGGGTGAAGGAAAGGAGCGTTTGAAAATTAAGAGAGGCAGATTTCTAGCAGGCATGAAAGTTAAATTCGCGTGTTCCTCGTCGTCGATCACGTAACAGGCTAATTAAAGCGTTCATTCTCTCGCCGAATCGATACTCGAGACTCGGTCGAGAGGGCAGCTGGAAAAGGGACGAGCCACCTACAGTAGGACGTCGAGTGAATTTTTTAAATTCCTTTAGGAACGCGTACACGGATCGCACGGTAAATCGTAGCGAAGGATATATTCGACACTCGATTGAAATATTCACTGGTCGTGTTCGAATTTCCAAATAGGCTCTCGATAACCCGCTACGTCTTGTGATTTTCACACCACGTTCCAGCCCTTTCGCTGAATCTTTCAATTCTCCTGCGACCTTGTTCCCTGGTAATTGTTCATTCAGAAGAGAATATAAGATAATCTTGTTGTCGCTCTATAGCGTGCAAGTTACACCTTAAGGAACACTGTCGGATTGTAAATTTCATCAAATATAACCTCGTGAAATTGCTTAAATAAATAGATGCCTATTAAGAGCAGTATCCCTTTATACGCGCACTGTGTGCCAACTCGATAAATCTTACCGAAAAGAAATCGGAGGGATTCGTTTAATTGTAGGCGGAAACCACTTCGATTATTAGGCTCGGGAGGAAAGAATGTAACACAACCAGCGGCTCGTAAATCAACGGATTAGAGCAATCTTCGGGCTAAGCTAAGGCTTCGAGCTGAAATCCAGCTTCTTGCGTAACGTGGCAACTTTATCGTCCCCATAAATGAGAATCATCAGCAAAGAAACAAAGATGGATCGAAGGAATTTCGTTCCTATCTCTGTCTTGTCACCACGGATGATTAACGTGTTAATTCCTGGCGTATAAAGAGCGATAATTCAATCAATTATAAATTCATTCACCCGTTCGTTGCTTTAACCAGCTATAAAATAAACAACACGTGTCTGGGAATTTGAAACGACTCTGGACGTCTGACAACGCCGGATCGTATTGTTTTTAGCCGCCGAAAATAGGAAAGAGAAGAACAGCGTCGGTTAGTACAAACACAAAGACCGAGATATGACAACGACGACGACGACAAGGCGTCTCTGTCGTCAAACACATCGAAAAACGAGAAGTTAACTCCCTGTTGACCGGAGGAAACGTTCGACCATTCCGTCTCTCCTACTCCGAATGGACGATTTTATTCGTCCAGACGCCATCAGGATCTTAATTTCCCGGCTAATGTCTCCCGTTCACTCGGAATTTACTGCTCTTCATAGCTCGCTCTATTATAACATGCACGAGCTGGGACTAGCTTTCGCGTAAAATCTCCAGAACTTTGAATTACCCGGTATAAAGCCTGTCAAACTACCATAAAATCCTGTTGTCCTTGCCTCTGATTATTTCGATACGAACATCTCCTTGATTGTTACACTTTAAATTTATCTAATCAAGTCCACGAAATTGAACATACAAAATTTCTCCCATCAAAATGATCTTTGTTTATATAAAATCTGCCCCGAGCGTTTGTCAGAGGCAGTGAGAAAATCGTGGCAAGTGCGAAAGAGATAAAGGATGTAAGAGAAGCGGACAGATGGAAAAAGAGAATGAAGAGGAGGCGACGAACGAAAATCTAAAATAAACCGGAGGAGTCGTTGCACGGTTTTACTCGAGGCGTTTTCGTGTTATTCCAACGTGGAATAAAAGAGCGAAAATGCCGGAGTGTGGCAAATCTTGAACGATGCGTTGCGTGTCTCGGGACGTTGAGAAAAAGAAGAAAAGGAAATGGTGTACAAGATGGTCGCCGGTTATCGTTGTCAGCTCGAGAAATATTAGGTGTCCAACGAAACGCGTTCGAATCCGGCGACGAACGATCGGTAAATTTAGTGTCGGCTAACAGGCTGCTAGGAAAACAAAATTAATCCTGCGTTACTGTCTTTATTTCGAGGGAGGGTCGTTCCCTAGCATCGTGGAACACCCGATGACGGTTAAATATATCTCTACGTTCTAACATCGAATTACGCGCGCCCGACATTTGCATAAACACAGAAGCTGGGAAGATCTCGTGGATCGATTTAAAACCCAGCAACGTAGCAAAGAAATCTCTATGCGCGTATGCGGTTTTACGTTTCACAGTAATTGCGAAACAACGAGTACGATGTTTCAGTTGTACTTTGACTTATTAAAGTGAAAAAGAAGCTCAGAAAATGTGCATTGCGTTATTTCACGCTGGCAGCTTGAAGGGAGATTTAAAAACTACTGTTTTTAATTATGAGACAAAATGTGATTATATTAGATTCGTTTCGTTTTCGTGTTTATTAAAGAATGCTTCCTCTTAACTAATTAAAATTCTGCCTTAAGGGAATACCACGAGCCACAAACGCGTAAGAATCTAATCGATCGACCGGCGCAGTAGTAACAGTCAAGCATATACGACACGATGGAGCGCGTACCGAATTGAACTTAAGCGAAATATAAACTTAATTGTAGGAAATCTGAGCCGAGGTAATGAGCAAGTACTAATCAAATTAATATTCCCGGAAATTGTTGAAGTATAAACGAATGTGCCTAGTCGGTAAATATACATACATTTAACCGTCTCTTAAACAGCAGAAGAACATTAATCCTACGGGTATGAAAGCAGTGGTGCAGCTTTCGCTTCCTGGAAGCAATTTAGTCGAGCAAATTTGTTACAACCGCTCGCCAACACTCTTAAGGAACTCGAAATCGCGTTGCTCGCTTCACAGTCGGTTGGACTATGCTGTTCGCTGCAATTTGTCGATTACGCCAGACAGCGTAGCTTTTAGCGGGAAAAAATATTGCTCAATTTCCCGGTGAATGAAAACGCCGACAACCTGAAGAATTTCGGTCGCTCGTTTCTTTAGCGGAAACGTCGAAAAGCGAAAAACCAATAAATTTTTGTCGAATGGAGAATCGAAAACGTTGGAATATTTAAAGAAATGTATTCCACGTTTCAATATTCCTGTGTTGTATACCAATCATTTAGGTCAATTGAATTTTATATTGGAATTGCTTTTTAAATATAACACGGGAAGTTTTTCGAAAGCGTACGTCAGGCTGGAAGTGAACGCGTTAACAAGTTCTCGGGAGAAGCGAAAAAAGAGAAATGAAAATTCAGGAGGAAAGGGGAGCAACGTCGGTGACGAGTCACTCCGTCATTTCGTTATGAGTTACCGAGACGAAACGAGGCAGAAGGAGGAAGGAGGGAGGAGCAATTCCTTGTGGAATTTCGGGAACGCTCGAGGGCCTAAATCGTTCTGCTCTGTTGAAAGAAGAATGGATGTCGTCTCCGTTTCTACGATCAAAGAGGCTCCAACACGACTCGTTGCGCCTTCTACGGAAAATTCAAAATCCTTCCCGCCCCTCTTCGATCCACGATGAAATTATTACTCGGCATTTTAATATATTTCAATGAAATTTATTAAAGAGAAGCTAGGAGATAGAGGATAGCAAGAGATTAAAGGTGTCGAGGTGGGAGATTTCGCGCCTAATGGCGAATACATCGCGTGGTCTAAAGAGAGTAAGAAGAGGAAAGCGTGTTTGCCAGACGTTGGAAACTTGGCCAACTACCGGTGTCCCGTCGTGGAATCCGATTTGTCTCGGTTTCAAAAGGAACTTTCTCTGGCAGTGTGGCGAACGAAACGTGGCATCGTTTCGAACTAGTCGGGAAGGTGGAACGGTGGAATAAAATGAAGTAAACCGGGCCAACGAGGTCGCGGAAGCGGAATCGATGAACGATCGTCCAGAGGGAGAGAGAAAGAGGCACTTGTTTGCGAACGATGGACACGAAGGTGCTCGGTTCCGAGCTAATAAGCCGGAAACCTAATGCGGTTCGGCCTAATAAACCGGAATTACCCGTATTAGGTGTTGGATCGCAGAATGTATCGTGTTTAGCTTCTCGGCAATAATGCGAATTTAGATTGAACCGAACCGCGCGGAATAACGTGGATAATGATGAGTGTTCGATACTATCCCTTGCAGATTTCCAGATAAATCGATCGTTGCAGCCCATCCGAATGCTCTAATTTTATCATTTCGCTAACGTAGCCAGAAAATGGCTAGAAATATTTCACTGAAAAATTCTTTCGCGAAAGACAAGATAATCGAAAGCAGTGGGTGTTAAGCGAAAAAATGAATATTATATTGGCGAGACGGGGAGGTTAATTGGAAAGTCGATCCTTCCGGCGGAAAAATACGCTGCAGAGGCGCGACTGAATTCCCGGTCCTGCTCTCGAAACAACGGTTAGGGAGCGAGAAGATTTCGCGCGCGCGTGTTTGCAAAAAAACAAAAAAGAAAAAAAAAATAGAAAAATAAAAGAAAAGAGGATAGAAGCGTGGAACGGATCAGAGAGATTTTCGTGGTGCGAGCATCGCTGCCGGGACGATGGCGAAATAATCGAGAGCCGGCTGTCGCAGCGGAGAACAAAAGAGATATTTCACCGTCCGACAAATTTCCTCGCTAAATGGCCGTGCAGAGAAGGAAAATAAAAAAGTACGGCGAAGAGTGACCCGAGAGGGTTGAGGGAAACAAAAATAAAAATACGTCGACGCGACCCCTGGCCCGTCCGCGATCCTTGCGAAATCGGAAAGGCAAATTAAAAACTCGTCGTCCGGTCAACCTGTCAGATATAAATTGTATAACAATAATAATCACTGAATCTGTCGCGTTCGATACCGAATGATTCGCGATCAAGGTCTGCTGGCACGTGTTTCAGAAGCCGAGATAAAACAACCGTCTGCTTTAGCGTCGAGTCTTACTACTTAGAAAAGTAAACGCCTCGAGTAATCAGCCGCAAAACGACGAGTTCCTTTCTTATCTCTTAAATCATCTTTCCGTTCCATTCGCTGATAACAGATGAGACTAACGAACCGATAATAAGCGAGGAATCAGGTATGTCTTTGGAGAATAGGCGTGTAGTTTGGGCTCTTTCACTTCTGGCAACGTACCAAAGTACTTTGCCTCGATCGTTTGAAAAATGGCAGAGGATGAGAGAGCGACCGAGTCCCGTGGAATATTCATGAAGCAGCCCGATTTCCTTTTTTTTTTGTTTTTTTTTTTTCAACTGGCTCTTCCATCGACGCTCGCGTAGCGGCGAGCAATTGTTTGCATTTAATTTGATCGTGATGTGTTGCTCGTGTTCGCGAAACAGGTAGCATCGATTACCGCTACTAATCGAAATGCACGAATTCACGGGCTATTTTTTTTCTATTTTTTTGTTATCCGATCTTTTGTTACATTTACCTGTATACGGTCCACAGGATAACATTTCGTTCATCAGTTATATTCCTGATCCACATTTCAGCCCATCTGAGTAGGTATACCCCCTAAATACAGCTTAATAATTCATACACGTCCGACGTTTTATGCTCACCATAAATAAAACTAAATATGTCCCTCTTTCCTTTCTCTACTTCTCGTACATCAATGTTCACACGCGTTCCCGTTCCCTTTATCTCCAATTTCTCTTCAACAGCCAGCTTTTCGTATCGCGATCGTCAGAACCGTGAAGAAAACTTTGCAACGTGTCGTTTTTCTCCCTAACGTTTCTCAGTCGTTTCGAGAGTTCCACGGAATTTTCGATCGCCCGTTCTCTCCGTTATTCATACGACATTTTGTCTGTCGCGAGCGAGACACGGGTCCCGGGTACAGATGGATTTGTCGAGAGAAACTTTGCCACTTTACCCAACCAACCACTCTCCTTTTCCCCTCGATTTTATACCTCCAGACACCTTTTCTATAGTCACGCGCGAATATTTTATTCCATCTTTCCGAAATGAAAAATCGACTAGTTAGCTGAAACGGGCTGAATTGACAAGAAAATCATACGGTAGAAAGGTTTAAAAAAAGCAGGAGTTCCTGGACGAGAAAGAAGTTGGAAGTACGTTAAACGAGAGGGTGCTCTGGTGAATGTACCAGACGGTGGAAAAAACGCAGACACGAAATTATTTATAGCGTCATATCGGGGATAAAACGATTTATGCGATGGTGATATAAAAAGAGCGTTGCTTTTACCGAAAATCCATTAATAACGATTCGGTCGGCAGCCAGGTAAATGATCGCGCTTATTATTTATGCTCGTAGCTGGGGAAAGATGGATCTGACCATTTTTAACAGCACCAAGGATCGGCCTGCGTGAAAAATGCGTGAGAAATCGACTCGACGATACTCTTGATCGCCTAACAATTTATGTTTACTTTCTATTCTATGAACTCTAAAGATTAAATTTTTTTTAACCCTCTGTCACGTCGTTGAAATTTTCCTTCCCGCCGACAAATTTTGATTAGAGAAAAATTTATGCCGCGAGATGCGCGACTAGCTCTCGTTATCTCTCGCGTGCCCGCGTAAAGCAAATGGATGCCCAACGTGCCGGGTAAAAGCTGGATCTCGAAATGCACTAGCTTTTAAGGAATTAAATCTGCTCTCGACCCGTCCGGGGGCTCACCGTGCTGGCCGCTGCGTTATTGTTTTTCTACCTATGAAATATTAATTCCGTTTCAGCCCGTTCAATATTTCGTTCCCGTCGCGATCGCTCCGCTACCGACCGACCATTTCTATTCTCTACCAGTCGTAAATTTCCTCTTTCACTTCCGTAACTAACGAATAATGCTTGAAAATTTGTTTGTTTCCACTGAATTTACGTGTCGGTAATTGCGTCATGAATTTGATAAACTAGACCGAATTGGTCGAATTTTGTTCGAGGATTTCCTTGAAGGCACCACGCGACTGAAACTTTCGCGGTAAATTTGTACTTTTTTCACCTAAACTGCGACTGAGTTTCTCAAGCAAGTAAAGCTCGTCCCCCCAAAGAGTGGAAGGAATAAAAAATAAAAGGGAAAAGAGGCAGAACCAGTCATTATGAGATCGCTAAGGGACAAGGAGGGCGAAGCGGGTCTCTTTGAAAGTTCGCCCGGATGAGTAAACAATTTATCAGGCTGAAAGTAAAACATAAAGGGAGAGGAAGCGCGTTCGTGTCGCCTCGAAGGCTCGGAATTTTCACGACGTCCTTACTCTTATCGCTCGCAGAACGCGCAAAGTTCACGCGAGAGCGTCCGGGGACTTCAGTTGGGCGAGTTTTATCTGACGGCCACTTGCAACGAACAGCACCGTGCCAGCACAAGTTCTGGCCGGGAAGAAAACAGGAGGAGAAGCTCGAGACAAGAAGTCGGGACGAAACGGGCGGAAAAAGAGCAGCAGGCGAACAGGCGAGCAGGCAGAGGTCGCACGCTTTGAGAAATGTCGCGAACGTTCGCTTTTCGCGACACTTTACTCCCTCCTCTTTATCCTTTTCTCTTTCTTCAATTCTCGACTACGTTTCTGACTTTGTCGCTGTTAAATTTCAAACTTGTTGCTTCCTCCTCTTTTTCTTTTAATCGCTTTAACGATGTTTGTATCGTGCCTTACTTAAACATTAAGTACTATTTGAAAAAATGAAGAAGCGATGTAAAACTGTATCACCCGCTTGAACGTTCGAGCCATTTATGATTCAAATATTTTGTCAACTTAATAAACAGGCAAACACGGTTTTAAATGGCGAAACGACAATAAAGGCGAGTATGAATTACTGTGACAAACGCGATCTTCCGACAGCGTGTGTTTTCCAAGTCGCGAAGCGAGATCAAAGCGCGGACAAGCCTTCTCTCTCCCCGTATTCCGCTTAATTACGAATCCTTTCGAAACGAAGCCACTTTTGACTGGACCAGTCGCGTCGTCCTGTCCTCTCCGTAGGTTTACTCTTTCCACGTTGCGTTACGATTATAATAGTTTCGTTGGTATTAAAGCGTGTACAGGCGTAAACGAGGATGGTAATTGGCCAGGGTCTGGCTCGTTTCGTTGCGCCGCCTTTCGCGTCGCGAGTTTGCGGTTTGACACTTCGACGACCGTACATTTCTTACAACTGAATATAATTAGAAGAAGAAAAATGAAAGCGTAAATTACTATTATGATAGTTATTATCATTATTGTCGGAAGATACTTCATCGTTGCGCCGATAAAAAAAAAAGAAGGAAACGGAGTGAAGTAATGCAATCTTGCGGGAGAAAGTTTGAAACCGAGACTCGCTCGTACATTGTCGCGAATTACGGTTAAATGGGAGGTAATGAATAAAGTTCACGTCTAAAGTTTAAATTGCGGTATAGCGAGATACGGATTATCCGAACAGCTGGAGTGACAACTCGGTCCGATAAATTGCTAATGCTATACTGTTTTAGCGAAACTGTTGCTGTCGATGAAAAAAATAGCGCAACATAGAAAAATGGTACAGGTTGAATAACAGATAAGTAAAGATGGTAAAGGATTTCGCTCGTCGCGGATCGCGAGGTTCGTTGACCCCATCTTAATTAGGCGCCCAGTCTGCCCGATGCACTTCCAAATTTTCTTCTTGTTCCCGTCGCAATGGCGCCTCGAAGACGTTGGCGCTGTCTTTTTCGAACGAGAGCAACAAGACGGCTCTCTTTGTTGGCTACTCGACCGTTTTCACATGCGAACGGGACTGTCAACCCAATTTGAGAGACGCGACGCGAGTGGATGTCGAGGAGACTGGTTGCATAAAACGAAAACCTTCTCAAGGTATTCCGTGCCTTTGAAAACAAAATTCTATCCGACTCGTACATAGTAGCAGACGTTAATGCGATGAATTTCAAAATAATATTTGTTAAAAAAAAAAAAAAAAAATTGTCACTGAAAATACAATGAGACACCCATAGCATGGTTAACTCAAAGGGCGTAAATTCGTGGAGTTGTAGATTAGCCGACGTCACACGTCGACTACGTCGGCTACGTAGGCACGCGCAAACAACCCCCATGCGACGGGGGGGTTGCAAGCGGTCGAATTTACTCGGGCATTAAGCGACAGAACAGCGCTCTTTACGATCGCTTTGAGCAGTAGAGGGTTGCTCGTCACGGAGGCCACGCGAGCTCACCATTAAAATTCCATCAGATAATCTTATTTGCCCTACGATCACAGCGATCAATTCATCCCTTCTACTCCAAAGTAACTTTTCCTTTCGATATCGAACCGAGAAACTAATCGATGTCTCGTCGAAACGGACCAACCCGAGGGTGAATATAGGGGATAAAAAAGTAAAACGCAACCAGCCTTCTGGTGACCTTAATTTGAAAAGGGTTGCAGGTCGAGGTCTTGCACCGGCGAGTATCTTTCGTGGCTCGGTGAAATTCCAGCCTTGGATCTGGGTCAATGGGCGAGCGAAACTGCTATCCCCGAGTTTAAAGGGTTACACGATAGTGCGGTCGTTTTCGACCCGTTCTGGCGAGCCCCGCACGAAAATAAAATCTCGAGTGTGCCACTTCTTGCGGCCGTGGCTGTAATACGCTAACCGCAGCCTGCAATTGAAAGAAGTGGCGCTGACATTTTCGGGTGGAAAGAAAATTGTAATACCTTCGGTGGCGAAGGGGTTGAGAACTTTTGGCGACGACCCTTTCTGCAACTGGAGAAGCAAATCGCTTCCCACTTTTATTTCTAGGGTGGTTCGTTTATGAAAGAACGGAAGACGTGGACGAGAGAGGAAAAGCTTTAAATAAAATAGCGATTAGACGTGGGTTAACTTTTCGCCAGACAGAAATGAAAGACAAACTAGCAGGCATTAAACACGTAACTCTGACAACAACTGAGAAGGTTCGTTTCGAAGGTTTCTCGGTGGATGTGAAACAAGGAGGTTTAGGTGAAAATGAAGGAGAAGTCGGAACAATTCTCTCTCGCCATCAGCAGCTCGTATCTCTCCGGTATTTCTGAAACGCGACGGGTGTTTCGCGCGCAAATAGTTTTCCAGAAACGTATACACACTGTAATACACAGGAAGTTCAGTCGACGACGGACAGAGAGGGAATTTCTCTTTCTCTAGTCCCTAACAACTATTTGCTTTCCAGCTGACCTTAATCTAGGAAATGGCCACTAAGAGCTGTTCTCTAGCAAGCAATGCGAGACACGAACAAACGGCTGGACAAATGGAGAATAACGTCGACCAAGTCAGACGATGAAAGACGCGAAAAACTTTTTGAGTATTGCGTGCAGGAGCTTTCACGAAATAAGGTCACGTAAGTTCAGATGCTGGACCGGAAATTCGGAAAAACGCTGCCTGTTTCGTTATTCAGCATGCGGTGGTGTTCTTTAAATCGAGTTACGAAACAGACGTGTTCAACAGATTTTCGCTGGCTTAAAACGTAGCTAGATTTAAGACTTTTCCAGATCGTTGATAAATTTTCACCTCGTAGCTGAAAAACTTTTCTCCCGCATCATTTTACGAAGATTCTTTGCCAAACTGGCACTCAAACGACACGAAGTTCGTCGAGCAAGGGTCGTTCGCGAAGATGAGAACATTTTTGTACAAATATTTCTCGCGAGACTGTTGCCTAGGGTTAACGCAACAGGAGGTCAGACGAGCATTGTTTCAGAAAGTTGACCCGAGTCGTCCTTTCGACTGGGTACATAATTTAAAAACCGGACTTAACTTTGACGGTCGTCCAACAGGTACTCGATCTTTGTCTCGGAGTCGTTCGTTAAAAATGTTGGACGACACCGAAACGAGTAAGAAAAAAAGGCAAAAAAAAAACGAATAATAATAGCAGTAGAGCGTCGAAGAGAAGTCGGTCAACGACTTAACCAGATTTGCCAGGAGAAAAGTTTCAGAAAATTGATGAAGAACGGAAGGAGAGAAGGTTGTCGTCGTCTGGTCGGCTGGTCGCCTCGTCGCCTCGTCGTCGATGCTGAGGCCGAGCCGTCGGTTGTTGCCTCTCAGCAGGACAAAAACATCTCTCTCTTGGAGCGAAGCTTTCTTACCTCCTTGTCGGGAGTTGAAGGCACCGGTGCTTCCAGCGATGATTAGAAGCAGCAGCGAGCTTAATAAAGCTCTCGAGGAAGGCAGCATCTTTCCTGTACTCCTACCGGCGCCTGCGCGACACAGGGTCCTTTAACCGGCTTCCCTCATCACAGCCCCTCTGAAAAAAGAAAAGATTGAACAAACGTTAGAAACGAATTGCAAACATTTCTATTGCGAATTTTATTGCTATCATTTTTCATGGTGATAAATTAATCCAATAATGACTGATCTATCGAAATTGATAGCAGTCACGAAACGTCTTTGTAGGTAACGAGAGCAAATTATCGAAACAAATTTCGATGCGATTGAATTTTCGCAGTAACGAGGGCAAAGCGAAGGCTAACCCTTTGTTCCGTTCGTCAATTGCAATTATCGCGGATGCAAGGTGATTACTCGTATAATTCTTTTCCAGCTCCAAGTATCCTACGGCGAACGGGTCTCTTTTCTTTCCGCCTTTTTCCGCCAATACGCTGAGTTAATGAGCCTGGAACGTTTAATCCAGCGTTCATTAAGGCGTCAAAATTTGTTAGCTCGCCTATAGGAGTAAAGCTTTTGGCTCGCCAAAGGATCCTCGCGAATAAACGCCGTCGTTATTCTCGATCGATCCTCTGTCCTTTACGTGTCGAGTAAAATATCCTAGTTGAAATTCATTCGATAAAGCGAGGATATTTTCAAGTATTGATGTCGGATGTGTTTGCGACGGCCTCGACCTCCCTCGATCTCAGTCAGGGATCGGGTATTTTTAACCCATCATTAGGGGTCGTTAGGCTCGAACAAGGGGGAGGAGCGGTCGACAGTGACCCTTCGAGTCAATTGTGGCTTCGTCGCCGATGAAATTAACGCCTGTCGACCTTAATGCTACGAAATCGAAAACCATGTGTTCGCCTTCTTTTTTTTCGAATTTGTATTCGTGAAACAATCGCATTGAAAAATTTTCATTGTTCTTATCCACGGTGGATGTCGGATGTCGGTATAGGGCAAAAGCGAAATGGAGGCGCAGGAATCGGACGATGGATCGAGCCGGAGGCGAAGGCGGTCGGGAGAGAAGGAGAGAATTTAATTTCTCGGTAACATTACACCTTAGGAGCCTTATTCCAACGGCTTTGTGTGCCTGCGGGGGTGGTGCAGAGAGACACTCGATCGCAGGACTCCATTTGCGGTTTAGCATAATGGAAACCCAACGCGCCCCGAGGGCTAACGCCACTCACTCCTTCTCCTCCCATTTCTTCTTTCCGCCTTGTCTCGCCACGCTCCACGACCGCGCCGCGTTCCGTAGCGTTTCGCTGCGGAAAAATAAGGAAGTTCGAGCAAACACTGCCTCTTTGTAGACGCTGGATCTGATCAACGACTCCGGTTGCCGAGCAATCCGTGCCAGCTTTTCTACCGAGTGCCTGACAACCGTGAGTGGTTCGCTAAATTTGGACACCTCTACAGAGTGATCTGATCGTGTTCCTCTCGTATACATGTACAATTCGACTTGCTCGTTACGCGTTCGAATCGGCAAGTTTGAAGCGTCGTTTACCTTTTGAACAAGGCTTTACGAGATGGAAGTTTGTTTCAACTTGGAGATTTGCCGGACGACCAACTCGAGTCAATCACACATTCCATCAGACGTCTACCACCGAACTAAGAATAAACTTTCAGTTGAATTTTCACCAGTTTCGAGGCGACATTTTAATTACAAACTGTCGGTAGCACATATTTAAGTTTTCTAAATTGCGAAGAAAATCTTGTACCATTCTGTGAGTGTTTTCGAAGAAAAAAGTTTGAAATAATAGATCGAACAGCTAGTAAGGTGTTATCGAACGACCCTGTGTGCTCGGCCACCGTTTTTCCTCTTTTTCTCCGACTTTTTCTTGTCACGGCACAAATGAAGCCGCGTCGCGGTGCGTCGCTATCTGCTCACGTACGCGAACAAAGGGATTCGCCAGACATTCGAGCTTTTTGCGCCAAGAGCACGTCCTCGACGATGATTTTCTCAGGTTTTCCCTCGCGAACCCGCTCTCCCGGTCTTCCAGTCGTCACCGTGAATTACGCTGAAGAGCTCCCCGTGAATTTTGATCGCAGCCGCACGATGACACTCGACGACGCTTTCTGATCAACCAAATCTCAAGCGTTTTCGAATGTTTGGAAAGAGCGAAGAAAACACTCGAGACTCTACAAAATCGAGTGACCTATTTTTTCATCTTCGGTAGCTACGTTCTTGTGCACCTCTGTGATTCGTGCAATTTTACTTGTCATTAAAATAAGTAAACAAACAAGTATCTTGCAAGTTAGACTGGTGCTCGGATGCTTTATTTGAGGGGGGTTGGGGACGGTGTCAAAGCAGCTTGTAAAATTAACTGGGAGCAGAAGTTTGGGATTACTGATAGAGATTCAATATTTATACTCGACGGAAGTTTCGAAGAGACACGGAACGCTTCAAGTATCGCTCGATGTAACGGCGCGCTCAAGTTTCCTATTTCACGTTTCCAGATCGAACCGAGCGTTTCCGCTACATTTCGCGGCGGAAAACTTTTGAAAACCTTCTCGAAAAGGCTGACGCGCTTCGGTTTTACGTAAAAGCAGGCGATTAATTTACCTAAAATCCATGGCCGCCTTTCCTGTCCAACTTTCTCCAAAGATATGAAAAGACCGAAAATAGTAGAATAGAATTTTCACAGCCGTTATTTTGCAAATTTGTCAATGATCAATTGAGAAAAGAAAGAGAATGTTAGGCGTACTCGAGAGGCATTCGTCAAAAGCGTTTAGCGATGAAAACGTGAAAAGCTTAGGATAATTGACGCGAGTGGATAAAGGAACACTTTCAACGACGTCTCAATTGAAATATTATTCCAGCCAGTGTGGGATTAAAGGGTGTGCTGGTAGAATTGAAAGGCGATCTCTTTTTCTCCCGTCGATGGAGAGCTCGAACAAAGAAAATGCTCGAATAACTTTGGAAATCCGACGAGTTCGAAGCGTCCCGCCGCGACAGAACGCCGCGCTCATTACCATCCATCCATCCATCGTATTTCGAGCTCTTTTTCTTTTTCCCTTTTTCTTTCCTTTCCTTTCCTTTTTTTCTTTTTTCCTCTGCGTTTCAGTGCGGCGAACGAACGGTGAAAATTAAGGTACGCCTTTCATCGCAATACTGCGAACGCGGCACGAACGAGATTAGAGCCGCCTCAGGGGCGCAGCTCGTCTTTCGAATTAGCGCGAAACTCATCTCGCTTCTGTCTGTCGGAAACCAGAGGAACGGCCAGTAACGAATCGCAGACTCGAATATCAGCCACTTCGAAACGAAATTCTGCAAATCTATCTACGAATAAGTCTCTTTCGAACAGAATTCGAGTCGCATGCCGCGCGACAGTAGGAAGGCAATTTTTAGAAAATATATAATTAAGATTGGATGTCTGAAGAAACACGTCAGATATTCCTATTAAACAAAATCCATCGCGAAAAAGAAAGAATGTCGGCGAGAGAGAAAGGAATAAAGCAGACGGTCAAACATGCAGGAGCATCGAACAATGCCGTTTAATTTTCGAAAAAATGTTCGTTCGCTATGCGAGTTATGAACGCCCACCCCTTGCTCGTAGGTGGCTGGGAATTTATCAAACGAGATCGTCAAACCGAAACTCTGCTTACGTAAAAATGAATGAAAAAAAGAAAAAAAAAATAGAGGAACGGAAAAAGCAGAGACGGAGGAAGGAGTTGGTGGTGGAAGAACAACGGGTACGCGGAATGCTCGCCGCAAACAATGGAATTCTACTCGAGTGAAAAATTTTTACCGTGTCGTTGCTCGGTGATCCTGTCAAATTACACCTAGCCATCGTCCTCACCGTACTTCCGGTCTTCCTGTCATATATCTCGTAATATCACGGAATCTCGGGGTTGCTCGGTAAATCGCTTTCGAATGGAAAGGAAAACTTGTTTCGCGAGTGTTGCGCAAGGTGCTGGAAACGGAAGACGTTAGCTACACTCTAGTCGGCATAAGTGAAATGTAACGGTCCGCCAGGAAGTAAGAAATACCGAGAGAGAACGAAGAAATCGGAAGTTACGAATAGTGGCGAACCGGGACAATGGAACTTCCTCGAATCCAAAATTGGATTACAAAAATAAATAACAAATTGATTCCTGAGTAAACGATTAGCGGGAATGCAGCTTCGAACGGAAGGGGTTGAAGGATAAGAAAGAGCATCGCAGAAGAGGAAACGGCAGGCTGACGAACAATGCGGCTGCACTGCGGGGGAGTGAAGATTTGCACGGATTCGCGGGTAGGAACACACGTCGCAGCGACTTCTTTTGTCCCGGCTGGCAAACGTGCCTCGAGATCGGCCATTTGCCAAACGAGATTGAAGATTTGCGCCGTCGAGCAGGCAACGGTTCGTCGGTTATTATCGTCGACGCGTACAGATGACGAGGAAAGGAAAAAAGGATAACGTCGAGGCGCCAGAGGATTCTTCGATCTTTTTCCTTGGTCCCGGTGAAAAACAGAAGGATAAAGGGAAGAAAAAGGAAAAAGAGAGTTCGCTGTTGGAACGTTTAACCTTTTGCTATCCAAGAATTCTATGCAACGAACCTTTACTAGGTCAGAGTCTTAGAGAGTTTTGCAAAGGTCTACGAATCCGGGTCACCGGAGAATCTGGTATTTTTAAAAGCCTGAAATGTATAACCTTCCATGCTAAAATTCTACTGGCGTGTTCTACATTCCGTTATAGGTACATACAGGGTGAACGAAACAGATTGTGAAACGCATTAGAATCGCAAAATATGCGAAGGTGCTCAAACAATCTGCGAAGAAGATTGAACATCAGAATAAATCGAATTAATCCGTGGAGAATTTCGATTCGCGAGTCGAGCAAACTGCCGAGTCGCGAAATCAAGGAAGATTCGACTGGGGGGTGGTAAATCGAATTTCCATGGCGACGCGATCATGGAAAAGCGTTTTCCTCGTAGCTCGTAGCTCCGCTATCTGCCACCAATTATTCTGTCTCTCATTCTCGGTAGCAATTAACATCCCTCTTTGTTGTCTTTCCCAAAATTACCGGAATTCGCGGAGTGGAAGGAAGGACCGAGCGAATTCACGACAATTTGCCACACGCATCGAGAGTCAAACTCCCTTCAACGCTTTCCACCGTT